TGAGCAACCAGACCGATTGCTTGGCACCTCAGGGAATTAGAAGGGCTCCCACTGAGCTTGATTCAGTAGCAGTGTATTTCGCCAGGGTGTATAAGGAGTAAAGGGTCTCTTCCATCGCTCTCACTCAGCCTCTGTGAGCATCGTATGATGTGTGATAGTATTCAGGCACTGTCGAGTTCATACAGTTATGAGGGGTCATGTAAGACCTTGACTTTAAGTTTATGCTGTCTATAAATGGATAGAAAATAGTATTCTGGTGTCTGTTTCCCCCCACTGTTTTGACATCTCATGTTTTTGTTGAATTTGAGTGATGGATGTGCTTTTAGTGTATGTTACCTTTTTCCTGCCCTTTTAAACCAATAATAGTTGAAACAGTGTGCAACACTGGAAAAATCACTTTCAGTTTAGAGTGCAGTTGTATGTTATGTTTTCAGCATATTGGGTTAAAAACATGAGTACAAATGCTGTCAGGAATATTCTTATTTAAAAAATACTGCTGATTGGTTAAAAATAAAAAGTTCTGAGTCATTCAGTGTGCATTATTCCCATCCTATATGGTAATAAGATAGATGTTCAATTACTGTCTGAAATGGTAAACACTTTCTATATTTGTGCAGTTAAGCCTGTTTTTATATTCAAATGTTGTAAGTATAGTGGTAACCAAGGTAAGCATAACCTAAAAACCCTAAACTGAACAACAGCTCAATTTGAGTTTTGTTTGCAAACATTGAAAGAAACACACAGTGCAGTACCTCTGTGTGTATATATATTTAGATGACAGGAATGTCTCTTCACACAAGCCCCAGTATAGTTACTAGCTAAAAAGGAGCAACAGGTATGAAGAGTGTCTTATTAAAGATTGATTGTTAGAATAATTTTTGTTGGAAGTCTTTTTAAATGTAGATTCATGATTACCTTTAAAAGATCCAGTAAATTTTTAAATACCGTGTTGGTTTACTATTCCAGCTAATACTGGCCTGTGAGTATATCTGGCCTACTGCTGCCAGCAGTTTCATATATTTAATTTTTGTGATTATTTTCATAGATTTAGGCACTCGCTGAATATAAAAAACTTCTTAAAGAATGAATTCAATTAATAAAGCTCATTCTATTTAGTCATCAGTGCTCCTTTTCCTGCCAAAGGAGAGGTATATGTCTAAATCAGAATCTTTTTACAGATACCACCTTTTGAAATATTCCTAAATATTAATATTAATATTAATATTTATACTTGCAATCCTCAAAAACTGAATATAGTTTTATCTCCTTGGGATTTGAAAGCTGGCGTTGTTAGTGTTCCTCTGCGGTTCTGGTCTTTATTAGCAGCTTGATTAAATTCACAGCCCTTAAGCAAATTTATTTACAACCCTTACCACTTAGCTGGTTGCATGTACTGTTAGTTAAGGTGCTTCTCTTCTCAGTAATTAGAGTAGTAAAATAGTTCTTTTTCTAGTTACTTGCTGACGGGTCTGATCTTTTTTATTTAATTATCCATAAAGTAGTTGTAAGGTCAGGTCCATATTCATAGAGCCCAAACCAAAAAAAAAAAAAAAGACAGGCATTGTTTCTGTACTTCACAGTCCAGAGACTGTGAAGACAGAAACCTTTTTAAATAATGGTGAGTCATAGGGACAGCTCAATTTCCAAAAGCATTCTTTTGTACTTCTCCAGTAGGACAAAATAAACTAGGTTACATTTAAGTGACCATTAAAACAATTTTACTTACATTCTTTAAAAAAACGGAAATAAAACTTTCGCAGCCTTCCTTATAGATACACTTGTGTTTGTGTGTTTTATCAAAGTCACTACTAAGTCAGTAAAGAATTTGCTTAATGCTATAAGCCACCACTAATGTATTTATTCAGACTTGCATAACTAAACAGCATATTAATTTAACTTCAGTTAAATTGATTCAGATTTATTTGTGGAGAAGATTTTACACTATTTAGCAGACATGATACCAAAAGTAGTATAAAATTATTGTGGAAAATTACTGTTTCAAAGCACCATATTAATCTTCGGCTAAAAATGAGAGAACTGCACATAAACAGCATTAGTGTTGAGTCCTGGAGTTATAATAAGTGAATAAATAAAAATCTGTTTCCTTATTCAAGTAAAACTGTAAATTCCCCAATTTGCCATTTCAGCACACTGCCTCATTTTGCACCAATACCTGGCCTAGGGTTTGCGTCTCCCTCTCTAACCATCATCTGCTTCGTCAGCTTAGATTTCAAAGTGTGCTGTGATTGAGTTTGGAATTGATGTCATAGCCTCATAATGGCATTGTTACCTTAGCAATGGTACTATAGAAAAGAAACGTAGAAAAGAATGCGTTACCTACTAACTTGAAAAAAAAATGCCTGTGCTGTTGAAGAAAAGGGGATGATTTAAAATCTGGAAGTTACAACCTAGATTAATGACTGGTAGCAGAGAAAATTGAGGAAGGTGATCCAGTATGCTGATGTTTAATTGTTTTTCAGGAAGAGCAGTCCCTAGCTGCCTGGACACCTCAGTCATGTAATTTGGTAGCACAGGAAAAGGTGACAGTATTTCCACTTAGCTGTTCATATTGGCTCTTGAAGCAGGAGGACTCATTATGTAGGAAAGTATTCTGAAATAGCGGAACTGCCATATAGAGAGGTGAGAAGGAGGCTTCTAAGAAGGGAATGGGAGGAGGGGTTGGAATTTTGGGTTGGTTTTTTTCCCCCTGACCCAAGGTGCTGTTCTCAGAGGAAAGGGATTCATTAGTTATTTCTAAATTTATCTGAGTTGACAGGTCTTTCAGAAGCCTGCATAACTCCCAAGACCACTCCACATAGCCGCATTGTCCTTTTCAGGTTTTGAGCCAAGACTGCTGTCTGCAAACATTGTCTGCCCTTACATCAGATCATGTAGGAGTTCTTCTTTGAAAAACACCAGATTACTTGTTTGTCTGACTTTGCTGACGCGGCAGGTGTTATGTATAGGGATGGCTGGGCCATATGGCTAATGAGGATGTCCTTGAATGTACTTGAAAGCACAAGCAAGCACAGTGGAGGTGTTTGAGAGCAGCGGTTTTATCAAACCAGACTTGATCCTAAAGGCTATGCCAGCAGTAACAGGTAGTGCAGTAAGAGCAGATCTGTAAATCAATTATGTTGAGGACCCAGTGTGCATGCATACTGTATACATTCCAGGGGATTTTGGTTTTGCACTAACTCCAGCCTGATTCTGTGGAGTCAATGCCCATTAGCAGTCCTGAATGTAACTGCTGGCTTGGTTTGATCGGAAAGGAATTTGGTTCATGCTCTGAGATCACCCTGCAATGTGAAGCAAATCCCAGCTGGTGGGGCAGGTGGGAGCCTGGCGTCAGACTGGTCTAAACTAAAACTCAAATGCAGACGTGCTCCTTGACTTCATCGCTCAGGCAACATGTAAATTGGGAAATTTGGCCTCAACTCCACCTGCAGAATTATTTCCACAAAACAGGGTAAACTTAATTAGTATGCCTGTGCTCCAGAATTCCTAGAGCACCGGCACCTAAATACATGGTGAGTGGCTGCACTGACTGTGCTGCTACTGTTTGCTCTGAGCCTAGAGCTTGGAGATTATTTCCCCAGAACCCTGTGCAGTTCTTTATTCAAAATCCTTTTTACTTTTTAAAATTTTTTTTGTACAAGGAACAATACTTTAAATACAGAAAAGCTCAGTAGTATGTCTGTTTAAAGAATATCTTGACTTCTTGTAGATGCTGTTTTGTTTCCTTTGAAAAAAGCAAAATGCATTTAAAAAGTACCTTCTCTGCAAGTTACAAGAACCATTAATGTTGACAGTAGGGCTCTTAAAAGAGCAAACCAGTGATATGGAGATTTTTTAAAAATTGTCTAAATTGCGTTAGTTTTCAGGTCTGAACAGAAGTACAATTCTGGGTGTAGAGTATGTGTATGAAAAGTATGGAGTACCTTTCGTTATTGAGAATTTTTTTCATTTCCTGACTATTCTAAAAATATTTTCTATGCCACAGTATGAAAAAATGGTATCTTAGATTTCAGTAAGAGCATTTTGCCTTGCGGCCAGTCTTTTCAATTTATTTTTGCAATTGATGTCTCCACCATTATGATAGAGAAAAGGCATTCACTAACTTGCATTTAATTTTCTACCTGAATTTAGGCCACTGAGCATCAGGTGCCTGGGGGCTTACAGGGCCCCTTTTAGCGTAGTCGTCATTGGTTACTATGAATCTTTTTTTGCATTAGAAGTATGTTCCTTCAGCTGTATAGTTTTACCAGACATAGTTCCAACATCACATGGCGATATTCCTGGCTTTGAAGCTTCAGCTGCATGAAGGAGTCTTAAATCTCTCCTTTGTAGGCGTGGTGGTGGTGGTGGTAGTGGTAGTAGTAATAAGCCAAATACTATGACACCATGAAGGCATCTTAAGTCGTCTTCTCACAGGTGTGGTGGTGGTAGCAGCAGCAGTAGTAGTAGTAAGAAGAATATGACTCTCCTGCCTGGTTTACAGTGGTGCTAAGGCCCTGCAGAAAATAAATCCTGGGGATTACTTCTGCTCTGATACCTTTGAGATTTAAAAAATGTGGTGTTCAAGATGCTTTTGTGACTTCTGGTTATGTATCCAAATTTTATTATTGCAAGACTAACTTTAGGTACACAGATGGAGAAATTTAACTCATTTCTCTGTGCTTCATTTCTCCATCTGTAAATTTGAGATAACTGGTATCCACTTTGAGAAGAACTTGTAAATAAGCCAATAGATTGGACTACCAGAGAGGATGAGGTATTCAGGATATACTTTACTTCATGACAGTGCTTGGGGAAATGCTGTAGAATATATTTGATGGCAGTTAAGGTTACGACACTTGATTACTGCTCACATGAAATACAGTTTACATCAGTGTCTCAGTAGCTGTTCATATAGGTGTGCACTTGAGGGCAGGATAAGATGTATTTACCTTGTGGTTTATTAGTATAAGGATTTCTTAATTAAACTTAATTTGTTACAGGAAGTGCTGAAACAGCTACAAGGAAGTATTGAAGATGAGGCAATGGCATCTTCTGGACAAATTGACTTACTGGAACGACTTAAAGGTAAATCTAGAATTATGTTTTAAGTAAGTTCATTTGTTTCTCAGTTGTTTGTTCTTTGGGATAAAATTTTCTAACTCAGCTACATCTTTCTTTCTAGTGCCAACTTTGATAGTTAGGCTTAGTCTTAATGCCTGTTATTTTTGCTAAACATTTTAAGTTGCCTATGTTCCTATACTGCTTTTGTGCTTTTGCTACGGTTACTCTAGGGCTTCATATTAATTGCTTTTGATACAACTTGCATTTCATTCAGTCCTTCAGAAAAAATTACATTTGTTTAAATTAATGATGGATGAGTTTCACCCATTTACTTGTTTGTATGCCCTGCCCTCTCCATGCCACATTACTGGAATTGTATCTGCTGTGCTGCAAATTGATGCCTCCTTCCCTAGAGCATCTTCTGGAATGTGCACCTCTCATTATGCAGGATGTGCAAAGCAAGCTCAAACCACTGGCTCCCTGTATACATCCATTATCCCTACCACTGAACCAGAAATACCATGGGGGATGTCTACATTTAAGGGCCCTGTGGTGAACAGAGTTGTCATCATTTTGTTGACAGTGAAGCATCTGCAGGATCTCTGAGAAAGAAGCTATTAAGAAGTGGGCCACAAGAACAATTCATATGACATTTATGCAAAACTGCCCATTTCTTAAGTCCTCTGGGAAGGAGGCAGGCAGGCTGGTGTGGGGATACTGCTCTGGTTGTTAGGATTACAGTTTGGCCATCTGCTCAGATGACTAGTATTCTCCAAGCGTACCATTACAATTAGTTTTGTTCACAATATGTTCTTCTGGGGATTCCGATGCAAAATGTTTCCGGCAAAAAATTTTGTACAGGAAATAAGAAATGAAGATAGAAATGATCTTTTAAATTTGTGCTGCTGAACTTCAACTCTGAAAATGTTTGCCCCTTATTATCCAGAACTGAATTTGGAAAGTACCAACTTCCCTGGAGTGAAGTTAAGGCCAAAGGTGTCCGTGCGTTCATATGGGAGCCGGGAAGGGTCTGTGTCAAGCCGTTCAGGAGAGTGCAGTCCTGTTCCCATGGGATCATTTCCAAGAAGAGGATTTATGAATGGAAGCAGAGAAAGCACTGGTTACTTAGAAGAGCTAGAAAAAGAGAGGTAAATTTCTTTGTGTATTCATCCAGTGTGGATTGACTTCTGATTTTAACATGAAAGTTTACAGACACACCTAGTATTTGACTGTCATGCATATGGTTTTGATCACTGGTATATATGTTTTTTGACAGGTAAGGAAACCAGGAATCTACATTATATTTAGGTGTACACAAAAAAATATTAAAAAAATCTTAAAACACATCATACAGTTTCTGCTGCTTCTTCATATATGCATTTCATTGTTACCGTCTGTTGGCTGAAGTTTTATTTTATTCTTTGTTACCGTTTGTTGGCTGAAGTTTTATTTTATTCTTATCAGCGGATTGTCAGCATCTGAAATATATTTGGAGAGGGGGAGTGGAGCGTCCTCTATTGATAAGTGGTGAAACTGTAACAATGTGACGGTGCAATCTCTTTCTCTTTTTTCTAAATGGTTATAACTACTGTAGCTGGTTGATCACTTATTTGTTATTAGCAGACATTTACTTAGTGATCCTGCTTTCTCAGCACAAATGTCAGCTAAACAAAAATATTTACTCTTATCTTCAAGGTGTTTTTCCCATCTGATGTTTTGTGTTGACAAAATAATGAAATTTCTTTTCTTGGAAGGTAGTGGTATCCACTTAATAGGAAGAACATCCTTTCAGGGCATAATACAGATTTGTAGCACTTTATCAATCACTTACAAAGGAAATGCAAAGTAAGAGACATGCAGCTGGTTTCCACTGAAGACATCTTTATATCTTAAAATGAACCTGACTGAAATCACAGATGTTTTCAGAGGCCTGTCTGTAAGACAGGGTTTCCTAAGGGTTTGGTTATTGACAGCTTCTTAATGGATAAGATACTGAGCTGGGGGCTGCAAAACCAAATAAATAGCAACACAGTATTTTTACGCCAAGTAGTTGTTAACAAGCAAAAAAACCCTGCACTTTGGGATTAGTAATACAAAACTTGGGTGAGTAATAAGTGGTTTGTAGGCAACCCTTCAGAAATCCCTCCTCTAGAGGGCCTTTCCTGATGTTCAGTAAAATTTTTGCAGTCGAGCTGAAAGGAGCATGCTTTTCCTCCAAGGTACTATGTCTAGGTCCTTTTCATTTGGTCCTATCAGGAGAATGAAAGTAAATTCCCATGGGTCCATATTGAGCCTCTTCTAGCAGCCACTCTATTTTTTCATTTTCCTAGTCAGGATCACTAATCATATTTGTTCCATCACACAAAACCTAGATTCCTGAGGAGCTGTACGAGGATATTTAGGAATCTGTTCCCACTTGCTCGTCCCTGTTTTCAAGAATCTAACGTGTCTGCCGTTTTCCATCTTGACAAAACAGTGTAGTTGTAGCTGTATTCTTCCAATGCTGTTCTTTATCACATGTGATAGCGAAATCTTTAGCTGTAGTTAGGACTTTCAGTTACAATTCAAGTGAACTCCAGGTCACTTGGAACAAGTAGTATTGATTTACAGCAGCTGGAATTCTTCAAGGTGGTTAGCACATCTGATTTATGATCTGTGATCCTTTCCCACTCATGGATTCGAAGGTGATAGTTCTCTGGACATGTTTCTCAGCGGTAAAGACAGCTTAGGCAGGGAACTGGTCTTTGTTCCAAATAACGCTGAAAAAAAGGGATAAGGATATTTTCATTTCAGATGAGCTTAGGCAGCGTTACTGTCACAGCTGATGGGGTAAAGATTTGTGCTGTGGAGCGGATGATCTGTAGAGGCATGGCCAGATCACATCTGCCTTCATTATTAGTGAAATGATGGATAATCCAAACTGCCCTACTCTTTATGCTGTTTCAGGAGATGTGTAGGAACGTGGAGGGCATTGGTGCAGACCCTGGGTAGCCAAACGAATCAGAACTTGGGGTGGGGGTGTCAGACCGTGCATCTGAAATCACTCCAATTTCTGAAAGAAAATTAACGACTTATTTTCTGTGCTTTGTGTCTGAACTTGTTTGGCACACTTAGTAAGTTTCTGTGTTTCTAAACATTTATATAATACACACATACTATTTGCTAATAGAATTTCTTTTGGCACTTAGACTTTCAAAGAACTCATGTAACTTGACAAGCCTCAAAGTATTAAAATGATTTAGAATAAAATAACATTTTTTGGAAACCTGAAGCAGAGGAACATTTCCACTCAGTATCCTAACACACTGGCACAATATATGCTGCTCATGGGCAACAGTGTATGGGCGAGGACCAAATCATGTATTAGCTGTATGTGAATTTGGCAAATTCACAAGATGTTTATTAATAAACTAATTCACTAGACATTTATTAATATAAACAATTAAGAAACAAGACAAAATTGCTAAAACTTGTTTGTATTAAAAAAAAAGTTGGCTTGGCTAAAAGTGATCTTCTGAGAAGAAGAAAATGAATCAGTTGATTTACTTACCAGAATGAAGATGAAAATGTCTGCCTGTTTCTCATTTGCTTAGCTCTCCTCTAATTTCAAAGTCAAAAAAAGAGAAGAAAGTGTGTGTGGAGTGTTTTTAGGTTAACCATTTAGAATACGCTATACACTAAATACCTCCTGCTTTCTTTCTGGATATTTCCAGGTGTATTTGGTAAGACACTGTATCAGCAACAAAACTTCTCAGAGTACACTGTGCATTACTTTTTGTGTTGGTTTGCCTCTTGCAATTTAGTAAATTTTATAATCTTGCCTTTGTAAATTCTGTAGTTTACCACTAAAGATGACAATTTTTTATGAAAATGTTCGTATGCCTTGTTTATTCCTTCTGGTTTATCCCACTCCTTTTTTATTTTCTTTATGTTGATTTTGAGCATTTTCTCTCTCTCATGACTTCTTTCTCCCCCTACTCTGTCTCCTTTTGGCTGACTGTACAACTTACCTAAGTCTTCACAGCATCTATCAGCAGGTGTTTCATTTTCAAGATTTTATTTTGTCACCTACCAATTGAAGTAGTATTAACTGTAATTTACGTAATGCAAGTTGCATGTAGTTTGTTTTCCTTCTTCCTTTTAACTGGGAATAAGATTGACATAATTATGCAGAAAATATTTCCAAAAGAAGAAAGTAATTTTCTGCATTCACTCAGCTTCATCTATTTTTGGGAGCTTAAAAAATACCACATTGGAGAAGTCTTTCTAAATATCCACCCTTCAGAAAAGCAGTCCAAATTGGAATCTTTTTGTTAGCTCATAAAAATAAAGTTCCAAAAGCTTGCTTCATTTGCCTTGCTCCATTCTTACTGAACCTGACAGTGTATGACAGAGAACAGAATTTTCTCTGATGCTGCTGAAGTCCGAATATAAACAGTTTGGGGGTATAAAAAGATGGAATAACTGCACTGGGTTTTTCCATCAGTTTTCTTCCATGATCAGCAACTGCTCTTCTACCTTAAATGCTCTCCTAACCTGAAGTTCCAGAAGGCTGAGGAGGAGCTATACTGCTGGTTGGTGTAGTATCTGATAGTAATGCTAAGTGCAGGGAGCAGCTTATCAGACACATCTACAGAGATTTGTTGCTTATTTTCAAGGAAATTGAAGTCCGTCCTGCTGTAGTTGTACCAACCCTTTAAGCTTTGGTGCTGAGGGACCTTAAAGATGTTATTGAAACCTGAATCCTCATGGAACAGTGACACCAAACGAGTAATGCCAAATCAAGCATTACTCAGAAGCAAAAATGACACTATTAAATTTAAAGGAGTCACCCTCAGGTCATGCATTATGTTGTTTATGCAGCAGTGATGGTTCCTAAGTTCTTTTCTTGCTTTTAGCATCTGTTGTGCGTGTCAAAACAGGTTGAATGACATAGTGTCTCACAAACTGAATACCCTACATTTTACAAGAGGAACTTAATCACATGTTCACTTAGCTGAAAGTAATCCCTCTGGTTTCTGCTACCAGTTCTTTGACATTCAGAGGCGGAATTAGTCAGTCCTTTCACATTTGCAAATCCTCATACGGTAAAAATACTTTTTGTAGGGATTGGATTAATTACACTTTTGCAAATTTGATTTAAAAAACTGGACGTGACCGGTGCATGAGCACCCAGGGTGGTAAAAAGGGGAGCCGTGCAGAATGCCTGCATGCGCAGTGGTCAGGCACCCAGGGTATGTGTGAAGAGGATGGGCAGGTGGGAGGCCGAAAAAATTTCTTCCCTCACAGGCTTTCCCCAAGCAGCATCTGTTAGCTTTTCCTTCAGACTGTCTACAGGGCTTAAGGATTTCCTGCCAGCCCCATCCTTGTGGCTGAAGATTACTGTTTTGCTGTAATCCTGCTACAGTTACCTGTGACGGTATGGTGGTAGTTGTTTGTTGCTTCTTTTCACTGATTTTGGTTGTAAACCTGCCTGGTGTAAAACCTGCCCAGTAAATGACTTAATGTGTAGTCTTGACATGCTTAGGACAGTTTGCTTCAACATAGCTGTTAAATCAAATCTGGAAATTTATGTCATTTTGTTCATATTTAAAAACATTTAGCACTCCTACATACGTATAGATTTTCAGTCTCTTGCAGTTGTAGTGAGGGATCTTGTCAGTTTTAATTTTCCATCTGAACACTGGTCAGGTCATTAGCATTGGGTATGGAGTTTGAAACGTTTTGAAGGCATGGACTAAGTTGAACAGATCCTTTAAAATACATGTTTTTAAATTATTTCTTCTAGATGAAGTTCAGTCATGTGGAAGTTTGATTAGCTTCATCTCAAATCATGACTGGGAGGCATTATCAAAGTAGTCAGGGGAAATTTGTATTTTTGTTCTATGCTGTGTTTTTCCTTCCTTAACGACTTAGAGTAATTATCCATAATGTGTTTGTGTGCTTTATAAAGGTTCATATGGCTCCTGCTCAGAAAGAGCGCAACCTGAGTTTAGAGAGAGGGATGCAGAAGTTAAGGGATCAGAAATAATAGTGAGCAAACTTGTATGCAGCTTTCTGTGCTCTGGCTAAGTGTTGATTTTAGCATTGCTGTTAATTTTAATGAGCAAGGTTAAAATGTCAAAAGGAAGAAGAGTGCTTGTAGAAAGCATGTATAAGAAACTAATAAACTTGTACGAAAAAAAAAAAATCCACCCACAAAAAAACAAGGGTGGATTTTCTGCATACTCCTACTAGCCAGATTTTCCCTGAAAATTTTAATAACTATTTTGAAAAGTGTTGTAACAATGAATGCTATGTAACTATATTGATAAAATTTGCAACTATGTAAATGTAGTTCATGGAGGACTGATAAAATAGTACGTAGAATTTCTAATAGATTTTTTTTCATGGTAGTCTGCATATGTTAGTCTTTTTACCTTTCTCATATACTACTCTGGTATGCAGTATGGTTAAAATACCCATTTAAAATGTTTTAAACAGCTGCAAATGTATCCTGTCTATAACATTTGGTGGAAAATACTCTTTAAAATATTTTATTACTCATAGAAATAGCTTGATCTTTTGTGCTTTACCCATGGTTTTGGTATGGATGACAAAGTTAGTAAGAAGACACTGCAAAGGTGGATGAGATAATTTAATTCAGTAATGAGATTGAGGAATGTTTATGTTTCTGTAACATCCAGGCCTTTTCTTAAATGTGGTTTGATGCACTGTACAGAGCATGTAGTCTAAAAGAAGCAGGTTACAAGTTAGCACACAACTCACAACTGTTTTTTGCTTTCACAAAATGCCTCTTAGCTTCAGATTTCGAAGTGGTTTTGCAGAGAAACGTAGGTATTTTCCTGTTTTGTATGTGTGGACCTAATATACAAGAAGCTAGTGACTTGCTTAGCACAGAGGAGTGGATAGGTTCTTTTTAACCAGGGCCAGGGAACTGCACCCCCCTTCTCAAATATCTTCTTAGTGTCCTTGTCAAACCTTGTTTCTCATTTAACCTTCTTTTATGGGTATCAATGCCTGTTTCAGTACCTACATATGGTAATGAGGTCTTAATAGTGAGACATTTCCCCCGTCTGTTTTTAATAGGTCTCTTTTGCTTGCGGAGCTTGAGAAGGAAGAGAAAGAAAAAGACTGGTATTACGCCCAGCTTCAGAACCTGACTAAAAGAATTGATAGTCTCCCCCTTACTGAAAATGTAAGTACCTTCAGTACGCTTGGTCATGTATCTGATGCTATCATCTCTGTTTAGATGCTGTGTCTATTTAATGAATTTAGTTACATTCTCTACTATTATTTTAATTTAAAACATTTTTTATTCACTATGTGAAGCTAACAGCCTAAATAATGCCATTTTTTCATATATAATTTTACATATTAAAGTTCATACTTATCACTGACATTTATGTCAGTCATATGTTACCACTGACGCATTTATGTCAGTGATAGAGGAGCACTGAAAAGTTGTTATGACAAATAAATTACATGTCAGTACACTGCCTCTTTAACTCTATCTCCCAAGGTCTTTTCTTTATCTGTTCTTTTATTTAATGGATTCTTTTAATTTTGAGAGCAATATTGGCCTAAGAGACAATTTACACAGGACCTCTTAATTTGTAGCAGCCGGTACAGTGGTGCTATAGCCTGTGCAGGTGGTGTTGCTCCAAGCTTTTACCTTGGCATCTCCAAGCTATTTATAGTCATGTCACCATTATCTGGGATAATGAAGATGCCTGATGTCCCAGATAACACAGGTTTTCCTGTTGACAGACCTAGTCAGCTTGGATATATTTGCAGTGCATTCCTTCACACATACAGTATTGGGAAGACCTGGTTGCCCATCTTTAGAGATTCATACTTGATCAGGCATCAGTCAGACTCCTGGAAATGGAAATAGACAATGGAAACACTTCTGTGACCGAGGTGAAGCAGCTGGACTTAGCAAAGCTAACACTGAGTCATGGCTGAGTTTATCAGAACACCAGAAGTGAGGGGAGAAGGTCTGAAAAGAGTCTCAGGGAAGTGCAACCCATTTCCACAGGCATTCTCAGCTGTATCTATGTCGCTCTGTTGTAGCTTTTAAGATTGTCTCCCTAGTTTCATAGGTAATCAATTAACTTAGCTTTTCTTATGATTAGAATGTCTTACTTAACGTCTACACTAAATCTCTTTTGTGGTAATTTGTGTCCATTATTACTTACTCCAACCACAATAGAATGACACATCCCATTCTTTGTTAGTAGCATTTTACATATTTTTAGATTATTGTCTCTTTCCGACTCTGAATTGACCTTGGTGAAGTCTTCTGGGAGGACTGCTGTTAGAGACTCATTTATTTGCAAACTGAGTAATTGTCCCAAACCAGTGAAGTGCTTTGCTCCTGCCTTGAAAAATCTATCCGTTGGAATGTCTTCCCTTAGCTGTGTTGCTGTTCATGAATTGAACACTTGTGCTTTTTTCACAGGATAGTTAAAAATAGGGTAGACAGCAGTAGTATGAATACCATCACTACGTGTAGTAGTTTGATACCTCTGAATATTTTTTAAAATACTGATTCAGATGGCATGCATAACAGTTCTGTTGGTATGCTCACATACATGAGTAGCCAGATGTTCCAGGCTTGTAATGAATGATAGTGTCTCAATGTTTACATATTACATTTAGTCATTTGACAAAACTTGCAGGTAGTCTGTTGGTTGAACAGCATTATGTGTTCTTGTTTTTAATCATGCAGTCATATTTTAAGAATCTATTATTATGTTTTATTTGTTTATGAAGTTTGGTGTGGAAAAGTAATTGTTCTGCTTTTGTTCAGAGAAATGCATAGTCTACATAAATGTTATTTACTAAAATGCCTTCTCTGTACTTCAATTTCAGTTCTCCCTGCAAACAGATATGACCAGAAGGCAGCTGGAGTATGAGGCAAGGCAAATCAGAGCTGCAATGGAAGAACAACTAGGTACTTGTCAGGACATGGAGAAGCGAGCGCAGGTACAGTTTGTCTTTCATTATTAGAAGGAATGGAAAAAGTTTTTCTGCAATTTTATTAAATTATTGGTAGTTGTAACTTTAAACTTTCTGTAAATGCAGTGATACCTTAGAGCACAGTTAGCCTTTCAAATACAAAAATAGGAATCAGAACATAGGAAATAATGACTCAGCAAAAAGTACCCTCCTCTGCCTGTTTAAAAGACTTGTGAGTAGGCAGAAGTACACAATTTCTTCAAAAGAAATTTTACTATTATTATTTGCTTATAATTTATTACCATTTTAACTTCAAACAAACATATTTGCAGCTGCTTTATTTTGCATCTGTCATGCTGGGTTTTTTCATGCTCTTAACTTTAAAATAAAATCCACCTACTATTTTTAGGTTTCATTTACCAGAACACATGTATCAAGGAATAATCTTAAAAAAACAGGTATTTAAGTAAAATGTAATTCAGATACGTATCTGGAAGTTGTTTGCTCACACCAAGAGTTGTTTTGCATTCATGATGAGAATATGTACAATTCTGTATGCAAATCATGTTATACTCATTTGGAAGTATAACTCAGAGTGTAATTGTATGGAACCTGTGAATGGAATAATCAGTTGCTTGCTGGTTATAAAAACTATTCCCTCCCAGTAGTAGAACAACAATTTGAATTATTTATTACCATTTATTTCTAGAGATGTTCAATCACCAGCTTGGTACAGTAATCTGGTTTGGTTTTTTTTTTTTATGGTGAGTGTTACAATAATTTATAAAAATAGTCTCGTTCAGCTCTGGTTTTCTCACCAGGTTTACTCAATACAAAATTTTGCTACATATGAAGCATTTCTAATTGATTCTGCTTGTAATGAAAAAAGCTGCTTTAAAGTGTTTCAGTAGGACCTTTCAGAAGATTCATATGGTTATAAGTATGTAGCAAACGCAATATCCTGCAGTTGTCGGGTAAGTACATAAAGGCTGTGTAGGGATTTGTCTGTAGAGACGTACTCAGACAGGCCCAAGTTTAACCTGCCTGGATATTAACTGGCTCTGATTTGGATGCCCTGTGGCTGTGTTATCGAGGTTTATTGACAGTGGCGATGTCCTGCACAAACTTCAGCTGTGCAACTTGCATCAGCTAGTCCTGAGTTAAGGCAGAGCAGATTCAGGATTGTCTGCACGTGTCTGGTTAGCCCTATTGCAGAAGAAAATGTTACAGCATCGACACTAGAACTGCTGGGAATGTTGTCTTGCTGCTGACAAGCTTAAGCTAGAGTAAGGTGAAGAAGGCTAAATAGGTAGGGTAGGCTGCTGGCGAAATTCTAAATGCACTCAGGCAGAGAATAAATGAATTTTTTCAGAGAAACAATTTGACACTGTGAAAGTAATTAAGTTGTCCCTGAAGTAGCTTCCTCCCTGCTTGTTCTTTTTTAATTTTGTGTGGGGAAAAAATGCTACCAAGAAGATGTTTTTTTGTTTTCTGAATTAATGTTTGCCCATGGGCTTATCACAGCTGCTTTATTCTCAATATATACGTAGAACACTTACATACTTTGAGAAATTAGAGTGTCTGCTGTGATTATATAAAGATTATAAAATAGGAAGTAACTACTTCCTCATGTGCTGCTTATAAATTTGACTGGTAATTCCCCTTGGTTTAATTTTACCAAGGACAGGTGCCAAGACTGTGTAGAAGTTCATCGGTATAAAAATACATAAAAGAAAATTCTGGGTTATTTCACTGTGATGTTTAAATGTGCAAACTGAACCGTTCATATTTGACAAGTATAGTGAACTTGGTCCTTTTTCAACTCTGTCTCTGCTCTGTATTTTCCCTCCACCCTAACCGATTGTGACACACAGTGCAATGCAAAATGTAGGTTGAAGGAAGAGAACGATTCAACTATATAAAGGCTGGCATTGCAGACATCTCTGTATTAAAAGTCCCAGAAATTTATTGTGAGAGCTGATAACCTGCTGTAGTCACCCTTTCTCATGGACCTTAAAATAATAGCCTTCTCCCTCTTTGATCTGTCATAATTGGGCTTTGTTTCCTTTAACCTCCTCTTTCTGAAGCAAGCTAGCTCACAGCAACTCACTGTTTATGTTACCGTTTAGGAAGATTGTATACAAGAACATGCCTAACAGTTATTCAGAAAGATGCATTAGAAGACTGTTCGCAATTTTTTATAGCTTATTTAATTATTTACACTAACTTACACTATACCCTGAAGTTTATACTTCATGTGGTAGTTCTTACTTGAAAAAACAAAAAAGTGTACTTATACATGGTTTGACTATTCAAATGGTGTAGCCTATATACTTAGTAATAAGTAGAAGCAAACTTTAATTTCTGTAAAATACAAAAATTTCAGTTCAAAGACTGAAATCATAGAATCATCATAGAATCATTTGGAAAAGACCTCCCAAGATCATTGTAGTCCAACCATACCTGTCCACTACTAAGCCATGTCTCTAAGCACCTTGTCTACCCATCTTTTAAATACCTCCAGGGGTGGGACTTGACCACTTCCCTGGGCAGCAGTTCCAATGCTTGACAACCCTTTCTGTGAAGAAATTTTTCCTAATGTCCAATCAAAGCCTCCCCTGGCACAACTTGAGGCCATTTCCTCTCATCCTATCACTTGTTACTTGGGAGAGGAGACCGACCCCCACCTTGCTACAGCCTCCTGTCAGGCAGTTGTAGAGCGTGATAAGGTCTCCCCTCAGCCTCCTCTTCTCCAGGCTGAACACCCCTAGGTCCCTCAGCTGCTCCTCATAAGACTTGTGCTCCAGACCCCTCACCAGCTTGGTTGCTCTCCTCTGGACATGTTCCAGCAATGCAACGTCTTCCTTGTAGAGAGTGGCCCAAAACTGAACACAGTATTACAGGGGCAGCCTCACCAGCACTGAGTACAGGGGCACGATCACTGCCCTGCTCCTGCTGGCCACACTATTCCTGACACAAGCCAGGACGCCATTGGCCTTCTTGGCCACCTGGGCACACTGCTGGCTCATATTCAGCCGGCTGTCAACCAGCACCTCAGGTCCTTTTCCCCCGGGCAGCTCTCCAGCCACTCATCCCCAAGCCTGTAGTGCCGCATGGGGTTGTTGCAACCCAAGTGCAGGACCCGGCACTTGGCCTTGTTGAACCTCATACAGTTGGCCTTGGCCCATCGATCCAGCCTGTCCAGGTCCCTCTGCAGAGCCTCCCTACTCAAGCAGATCAACACTCCTGCCCAATTTAGTGTCATCTGCAAACAATCATGTTCATATAGACTTTATTTTTCCTTCATGCCAGAACAAGAAGGATCTCACTTTTTTTTTTTTTTAGGTTTAGAGTTACTTAAAATCTGATACTTTGCTTTACAATTTCAAATCAAATTTGTAGAATAATGTTTGTAGCTTTGCATCTTTACTAAGTGTTGGCATTTTTGACGATTTCCCCATAGCTGCTTATGATATGTGTGTTTCAGGAATTCATTATATTTTGTGATTATATTTTCTTCTATGTTTCTAAAATTTCTAGATAACATCGTGTTTCTATGCAATGTGTATTTTTTAGCATTAGCACGCTTTAAAAAGTTCATCTTACTTCCATTTTCAGATTATAACGGTGCTAAATAAGATTGGTTACAATGCTGATCCTTGCAGTGTCCCCTAGGTGCACAAAGCCTTTCCTTTTTCAGTATAGCATTGTAAATGTTTATCAGGTGAAAAGATTTTTCTCCCAACTGTATGTCCATGTTATTAAGCTAATCATTACACAAAAAAACCTATTTAATCAGTTCAATGTTCTGTTCACATCCTGATACTATTGGGCTAATTATTTTTGGCCCACTTTTGGTCAAATAATGTCAATTTATTAAATTATCAGGCTCATACAGAGATATATAACTTTATACACTTATTGTTTCACAGAATCATAATGCATCCTGTGCTTCACAGTACAGCTTGTATGGAGTATATGTATCCTGTAACGTTTGGGTTTTTCAAATTCCCTTTACTAACCACAGAATGATTGCAGTGGGAAATGAGTAGCAATATGTCTGTAAAAGGCTCTGATTCAGGGATGTCTATAAAAACTCAGACAAACCAAAGAAGGGGTATGTAGTTTTCTTCATACTTAGCCTATTAAATTCTTCGAGATTTGTAGGAGCAGAAAATACTCAGAGGCTGTGCACACGCAAAACTCCCAAATCATTATAGTGACTGAATGTAAAAGAAGTCATTCAGGATTTCATAACTTCAAGACACGCTGCAAATGTAAATCTCTCTCAAATCTCTGTAAGGCAAGTAGAATTCCTACATTTGAGATGAAAGTCAAATAGTTTGCTAAAGATCTGCGCAAAATGACAGGTTCAGAAACAGGAAATTTGTGTGAGTTGACGGAAACATTTTTTTGTATACCTGAATGTGTACTGTGTGATGACCTATTCTGTCCAAATGAGTATCAGTTTTATTAAAAACTCAAGAACTCACTATGTTTTGAATGTTTGTGATCGTGCCTGGTTTATTATGAAGAACACTTGAATTACCACATGAATGAAGTAGTTTTGTTTTATAGTCAGCTGTATTTGAAAAAAAAAAACCAAACCTTGTCATTCTATACAGTCTGTAAAAGGAGTTTTTGAACAAAATCAAACATGAAAATGCATTCATTTCAGGCGAGGGTGGCAAGAATTCAACAAATAGAGAAGGACATTCTTCGTATACGACAGCTCCTGCAATCACAAGCAGCTGAAGCAGAGGTTAGTGAGCAATTACTTGCCTTCCTTTAATTATGGTATGTATCTTTTTCTAACAAAAACCAAGTTATTTGAATAAAGTGGTAGGCTAGTGATGTCACAGTTAACTGACTAGTCAATATAGCTAGGCTGTCACTTGCTCTCTTACCAGTGAACTGAGGGTGGACTATGTGGATTACTCTTCATGCTACTATTGAACTTTAGTGATATATCAATTACAAGTTTAACTTGAAATTTCAGTAAAAATGCCAAAGTGCAGTGTATTATATAAAGGCTGAGTCTTGGTTTTAGCAAATAATTATAACAACTAGTTGTGTGTGCTTTTCTAAATATGAATCTCTGATAAGCACCTTCATGGCTTGCTTATCTTTTGAGAGAGATAAGATTAAAAAAAGGGTGAATACAGCTTCTGACAGACTTCGTTATAGAAGTTTGGCATATTTTTAGTGTTTAAGTATTGAGTTCTGTATTAAGAAGTAAAAGATAATGTTTCCTGTAAATTACAAAGTCCATAGTAGTAATTGCCATTAGCAAAAACTGCTCTTACAGTGGAAATTCATTTACAAGGTCAGCTCAATTTCTTGTATTGGTAAATGAAATATAAATTATATGTTGGACCTGAATATTTTATGGTTTATTTTCACCCAGAGTAACTACCATGAAAGCTCAGCATTTGGATTACTAAGGGATGTATATTTTTCCATTTTGAAAAATAATGGATTTTTTGGTTTTATAATTCCATAATTCCAGGATTTGGGGGAAAATTTTATAGGGGAAGCAGACAGCAATGTGTATAATTAAAGTTGCCTGGTCTTTTGACGTATTAGCCAATCCAGGTGTTTATACACATTCATGAGATCCCCCTGAGCTTTCTCTTCTCCAGGCTGAACAGTCCCAGCTGTCTCAGCCTCTCTGCATATATGAGCGATGCTCCAGTTGTGGCCCTGCACAGGACTTGCTCCAGTAAGTCCATATCTTTATTTAACTAGGGAGGCCAGAATGGGACACACTACTCCAGATAGCACCTCACCAGCTGAAGAGAGGAAGGATTACCTCCCTCAACCTGCTGGTAACAACTTCATAATGCAGCACAGGATATTGCTGGACTTTTTGCCACAAGGGTCCATTGCTAGCATGTTCAACTTGTCCATCAGGACCTCCAGGTCCTGTTCTGCCAAGCTGTGTTCCAGTTGGGCAGCCCCCAGCATGTACCAGTGCCTGGGATTGTTCCGTCCCAGGTGGAGGACTTTGCACTTCCTCTTGTTGAACTGCAAGTTCCTGTTGGGCTCTTTATCCAGCCTGTCCAGGTCCCTCTGAAAGGTGACTGAACCATCTGGTGTATCATCTTCTTCTCATGGTTTCCTGTCATCTGCAAACTTGGTAAGGGTGCACTGTGTCCCAGCATCCAGGTCATTAATGCAGATGTTGAACAGTACTGGTCCCAGTATTGACCCCTGGGGTACATCACTAGTGACTTGCCTCCAGCTGTGCTTTGTGCTACTGATCACAACCCTCTGGTGCTCAGCTATTCCACCAGTTTTCAGTCCACATCACTGTCTACTTGTCTAACCATCTAAACACATTGTCAGCTTGTCCGTGATGATGTTTTGGGAGACAGTGTCTGAAAGCTTACTAAAATTGATGTAAATAACATCAGCTGCTCTCCCCTCACCCACCAAGCTAGTCACCTCATTGTAGAAGCGTCAAGCCTGACTTCCTCATTGTAAAACACTGCTGACTTCTCCAAGTCACCTTCTTGTCTTTCATGTGTTTGTGTCTCTCATGCTTTCCAGGAGGATTTCCTGCATCACCTTCAATCACAGGTCCCCTTCCCTGTTCAGCAGAAGACCCACATTTTCCCTAGTCTGCCTTCTGTTTATGTACTTCTAGAGTCCTTTCTTGTTGCCCTTCACATCCCTGCATGATTGGTCAGCAACTCTTTACTCTTGGATCACCTGACTGCACTTCTGCTTCTTGTACTCTTCCTTTTAATGCCCAGGTTTGGTTAGGAGCTTCTTGCTCATCCATACAAGCCTCCTGCTGCCCTTGCTTTTTTTCCTACTTGTTGGCATGGACCTTTCTTGAGCTGGGTGGAGTTGATCCTTGAATATCAGCCAGCTGCTCCAGACCCCTCTTTACACCAGGCTGTATCCCATGGGATACCTGAAGAGGCTGAATCTGCTGTCCTGTCTGTGGTCCTGGTTTTTGTTCTTCTTCCTGCTCTTAGGATCCTGAACCCCTACCATCTCATGGTCACCGCAGCCAAGGCTGCTTCTGACTTTCACATCCTCAACCATTCTTTGTTTTTTCCAAGTAGCAGGTCCAGTGCAGTACCTCTCCTTGTAGACTCTTAATCACCTGTGTCAAGAAGTTGTCATCAGAGCACTCAAGAAATCTCCTAGAATGTTTCATCCTGACAATGCCCCTCCAGCAGATACCACGGAAGTTTCACATGAGGGCCAGGACCTGTATACATGAGGCTTCCTCCAGTTGTTTAGAAAAGGTCTCACCTGTTTCTTTTTCCTGATCAGGAAGTCTTTAGCAGATGTTCACTGCAACAGCACCCATGTTGGTCTGCCTGCTAATCTTCACCCATAAGCTCTTGACTCACTCCTGACCCATCCCCAGGCAGAGCTTCGTGCACTTTAGCTGCTTTCTCACTGAAAAGACAACTCCCCCTCCTTGCCTTAGAATCATGGAATCATTTAGGTTGGAAAAGATCTTTCAAGATCGTCAAGTCCAACCGTAAACCTAACACTGCCAAGTCCCACTAAAACCATGTCCCTAAGCACCGCATCTGCCCGTCTTTTAAACACCACAAGGGATGGGGACTCAACCACTTCCCTGGGCAGGCGGTTCCAATGCTTGACAACCCTGTTGGTGAAGAATTTTTTCCTAATACCCCATCTAAACCTCTCCTGGCACAATTTGAGGCCATTTCCTCTTGGCCTTATTACTTGGGAAAAGAGACCAACACCCACCTCACTACAACCTCCTTTCAGTTAGTTGTAGAGAGTGGTGAGGTCTCCCCTGAGCCTTCCCAGCCTGTCCTTCCCAAAATGTCTGTATTCCTCAATTGCAGCCTTTGAGTCATGTGAGCTGTCCCGCCATGTCTCCACGATCCCAGTGAGGTCATAGTCCCATGACTGCACACACGTTAACTCCTGCTGATTGTCCCCAGGCAGTGTGCAGTAGTGTAGAGGCATGCCAAGAGAAGCACGCAAGCATGCCAATTGCCCAGCACAGGCTTGAGAGCTTTCCCCCCAAGGCTATTCTGCGGCACCTCCTTCCATACATGCCGATTCTCCAGGGAATTCCACTTCATCTCAGTTGCGTGGATTGCCCTTGTGTTCCCATCAGCCAGGGCCCTTGCCTTGCCTGCCCTATCCCCAGCTTCCTTACCTGTTGTTTGAAGAATCACTCTGTCCCCCATTCTTCGTAGTTTAAAGCTTTCCCTCCCTGGTTGGCCAGTCTCTCAACAGATACTTCTGCCCTATTTTGTCAGACAGATTCTGCCCCCAGAATGTTTCTCTCTTACTCTGTAAGAGATTTTAAAAAAAAAAACCCAAAACACTGTATTTCGGACTCACTTAAGCTCAAGGACTTAAACAGCACTGAGATGCAATTACAGAATCAAAGAAATTTTTGTCTTAGTTCTTCACTCTTTTAACCAAATTATTTGGCTGCCAAATACATGGAAATTCTAATATATCAAAATTTTGTTGTGATGTGTCTTATATGTAAAGTGTCTGGATGGCTGGTTGTGTAGTTAAACATTTTAGGACAGAGTTACCAGGGGTGGTAAAGGAGACAGTCACTACACACTTATTAATACTTCATAGTGAGTTTTAATAATTTCCAAAGGATGGCCATTTCCTATGGCTGGATTTAGTTCTGAAATTGCCTGGTGGCACGGAGGAAGGTACTAGCAGTCAAACTGCAGAGTCTAAGTAACTGAAAAATGGAAACGAGGCGTTTATTATATTTTTATACTATGCCTGATACAGTGATACCCAAATTGAATGTGCTCTTTATGTTTACAAAGATTTAGTAACAACAATAATAAATACCATAGCTTGTCTACTGATATAGTTGGCCCCTGTAGTGATGCCAATCACCGTGGAATCCAAGTGCAATATATCTTGTGGAATAAGACCAAATGTAATACTGGACCATAAAAATAGCTTTTGGAAATCAATGAGCAGAGAAAATTTTGGCTCCCATTTTAGCACATTTTTAAGTTTTGGCAAATTACTAAGTGTCATAAATGCTGCTAGAAAAAGTTGAAGTAATTTACCTGCAAGTGATGGTACCTTCAAATTTCGTGATAATTCTGTTAGATGTTTTGCGAGATTTTCATAATAAGGTTTGAAATCCACTGTAAAGTTAAACCCCTCCGAAGAGATTTTTTTGCTGTCAGGTACGAATTTGAAATTATTTAAAAGAAAAAAGCAAATTCCTGGCAAGTGTTTAATGTGGGGTTTTCAATTTGTCATAGTGGTACAGGCCTTTCTTTCATAGTATCTGTCATTTGAAATAGGTGAAGTATTTCCATTGGGCAGTGTTGCTGTAGATAAAATGTAAAGGGTTTATTCCATACAGAGATTGTGCTCGGAAAGCTTTAAACTGTTTGAACTGTGATGGACAGGAGTTCTCTCAAGGATTTGACTCACTAGACTTCCTTTTTAATTTGACTCACCTGTAGCAAAATTATTTCAATCTTGTGGTTTCTTGTTTTGTTTGTTGCATTGTTCTTTGTCTTACCTTCTTACTTATACCTGTATGTGTATTGTGTTTAATATGAAGTACTGGCAAAATAAACATTTTCTGGTATCTAGAAAATAATAACATATCTGTAGTTTTCAATACACAGAAAATACTAGGGTAGTTGAATATTGGGGAAGAAAACAGTGGTTTATGCATAGAAAAGTCTTCTGTCCTAATAAATATATGAGGGGCTGCTTTGGCAACTCATGTAGACAAAGTATTAGGTAAAATTATTTGTAATTGGCTGTCTTAGCAAAAATGATCAAGGCCTACTATGCTTGCAGATGTCATAAAATAGCTAGAGATTTATCATTTTTCTACAAGTAAATACAGGGAAAGTAATAATTGACATGTGATAGTTATTGTTGACTTCAGAAGCACTTAGAATCTAACAGTGGCAAACAAGATAGAGGGAGCAGCTCTGTCTTCCTGTAATAGATACGTGGGGTTTTCCACCATGTTGCTGCAAGAGCAAACAAGCATATGCCGTTAAAGTGACTTCTGTAGTGTGGTGCCCGAATTCAGAAATGGCAAAGGGCTATAAACCCAGCTTACATGTCTTCAAAAGCCATGCTTCAAAACAAGTGGTGCTGTTTAGCCCAGGGGACCTGTGCACCATTCTCTAGCTGCTGTATTTCATGTAGGGATTGCAGAATCTGCAGCTGCGTGTGTGCTCTGGGTCTTTGCTGATGTAGGTGGGAGTGTATATATTTTCATCCATAGGTCCTATGTTCAATGTTAAAAGGTAATGTGAGGAGGGGGCATACTTGCAGTGGTTATACTGTCTTTATAACCACTAATCCACAGTCTGTCAGATGAATGTTTATTTACAGTAATGCTGTATCTATACAAAAATGTATTTTAATCATCCATATGTGTGTGTGGATACGTATTGGTTTTATATTTATATAATATGCATATGTAATAAATGTTGGTGATTTTAAATATATATTGATACATCTATAGTAAATGTCCATTTATATTCACATAAAGAATCAGTTTTCAGTAAATACCTGCTGTCTGCTGCCTGTGTTATTGTTAACTCCTTTGGGCCAGTCTGCATGAACAGAACAGCTTCTCACTTGAAATTAGTTAAGTAGCTGAAATGGTAAAAACTCTTTGCTGTGAACTTGCAGATTTGACATTCAAGCCCAGATGGTGACTTACGTGACAGTAAAGTGTGTGCATGTTTGTGCATGTTGTGAGCGCATACTGCGTTTGAAGTTCGATGAGCCCTGCTAGTAACTGTTGAACACTGCTTGGTAATTATAAATTAATTTGGGTGTTATGTTGACTACTTTTTGTAGTGGCATATTTTTGAGAGCGCTTGAGGGGAACGGGAAGCCACATCTTTCATAAATAGCATGTAGCAAACAAAATATATGTGAATGGGAGGAAGAGAGAGTGCTGAGGAGAGCAGGAACTTTTCTTGTCAGAGAATGAAATATCTCCATGTTTGTGCTCTAGATGCATCCAAACTATTTAGTAAATACACCATCATCACCACCTCCAAAAAATTGCCCCAAACTGAGGAGTGTTCTTGGGAGAGTATCATTGTTTCCTCTTAGGTGACCCAGTGGGTCAGAGTCTGGTTAATGAACAGTTCAGCTTTTCGCCCCTAGGTACGTTGAATGCTACCTTCTTCATGGGATTGAAAATTGTCACCTAATGACTGGAAAATTCTGTCCTGAGTTACACTGGAGGCTTAGATCTAGATTTTTTCAAACTCAGCATTCCATGTTATTCAAGACCGAAAGTCCTGCGAAACAGGGATTCAGCATATAATACATTATACTGTACTCGGCATGTAGTACAGCAGGGCCTGATCTTGACTGGGTCCCCAGTCTTGTATTGGGAACCAAAATTTCTTTCACCATAGTATGAGTGTCAATAACAATGTCATTTGATACACAGTGACAGAGACGGTGACTTTTAAAACTACAGATCAGATTTAAAGGAATAGTAACGCTTTGTCTCCTAGAATATTTTATGAGCTTTCCTTTGTGCGTTACTCATTTTCCATAACTGAATAGATGAAGTTGAGAAAAATGTTATCCGTCATTGTTTTCATTTTTCTCGTGTTATTACTTTGTCTAATACTACTGTGTTCTTTGACATATCCTACTCCTTTAGCTAAACTGTATAGATACAGTTTTTTACGTTTACCCCTAAATTACCAGTTCACATGTATTTAGTTAGTTACTGATCTCTGAAATTCTGTTCAACATTAAAAATCTCCTGGGTTTGGCACTCTAATGTCTTTATATGAACAAAATAGAGCTAGTATGCCAGTGATACTGTATGAGTTTAAACATGAGGTAACTGAAGAAGCTTCAGTGTACGTACATTGAAGAGAGCTGTTTCTGCTAGAAGTTAAAGAGAAATTTCCATAAAGCAAGATGAGGCAGACTATGCTATCATAGGCTGTACTGCTCAAGAACATTGCAGAGCCACATAGAAACTGAATTTAATATACCAAGTGTAGTTAAACAGATTGAGAGGGATACAGAAGCGTTCTCTGTTAAGGTAGTAGCCTCTGTGTCTGAAAAATGAGATTTGGCATCAAAACTAACACTGTGAGAATAATCATGCTTCGGAGGTAAGGTGATACCTTTTCAACTCCAGGCTTCGAGCCACTTCCAAGGACAGGGTTATTTATGTCTTTCTGAAAATCTGAAACATTTTAAACACATCAGTCGATAATGTTGGATACTTCACACACTTCATAACTGCTTAGTTACTCCATTTGCTTTATTAAGAAACTATTTAAAGGCCTGATTTTCGCATTGATCTCACAATCCCTGTCAGTAGCAGAGACACCAGTTTAATATTCATGTAGTTGTATAGAAAATTGGGTCTGCTGAAGGAACTGAAAAGTGTCTGTACCTGCTTGCCAGATCAGTTGAATTTATTATTAGGTGGATCGGTATCAGGTTATATATATTTTATTTTCATCAAAATGGTTATTCCTGCACTGTTTTGTCCTTAACGTTTCGAAGGATTCTTACAGTACTTATATCCTTCTGTTCACGCAGAAATTATTCATCTTTGAATGCGAGGCTTAATTGAGCTATGCTAGCCGTAGTCTCCAGTAAATGCATGGATCACGAGACAGTGCAGAGAAGACAGTTGTTTGCCCCAATTCTGTTACGTTTCTGATAGCGATGTGAGCACAGCTGGTGGAAAATGGTGTTTCTGTGTCTCACAGCAAATCCTTTGTCTTGCAGGGCTATAATCCTCAGAGGACGTGCTTCACTTTCATCTTGCAGTTTTTTGAAGACATTCAGTCTCAGCTGTTAATTATTGAGGCTAAGCGTTATGAAGTAGAAAGTACTGTTCAGTGGCTTTGTGAGGATGCAGCATTGATGCATTCACAGTCCAGAGAGCTTTGAATGGTAAAGCGTACTTCATTTCTGTATGTAATTTCATAAACTCTTGTATTAACAGAGAGCTCCTCAAAGCAAGCACGATGCAGGTTCCCATGAAACAGAGAGGCAGAACGAAGGTCAAGGAGCAGCAGAAAGCAGCATGGCAACTAGCAGTGCTGGTCAGGTAAATTGATTATTTTGTCTGTTGATAGTATAATTAAATACTCAAAATGTACAATGCTTATATATTGGTATATACCTTACCATGTTTGTATGCCTGCTCATTTTAAAAAAATACACGTTTTTCTTCCTTCTATCTGTATGTGAAAATTTTCTTGTCTTTATTGGAAGGAAATATTTAATAAGATGAAGTATAAATATTCAATAATGCAGGGAGCGTTTTTCTTTTGTTTAAATGATTAATGAGCCTAACGCTATGAAGGAGATAGCAAGAATGGCTACAGAAAATGTATTTTGTTGTAGGTGAACTGCAATGTTAGGACCATGATTTAATTATGGAAAATTGTTCAAATTTTCACTTTAGAAATTATCACTGAAATACCAGTGATTTTTAAAAAAGAGAAAGAACCAAATGGCAGGTTTATCATTCATGTTTCTTTAATACTGTTTAAATTAAGCTTTGAAACAGTAGTATCAATGAGGTAATCTCATTGAAGTGGGTTGAAGGGTTATTTAAATGCTTCTAAATCTTTTTTTGCTGTTCCTTTTATTAGTGAAACACATCAGTGGCGTATTTTGAGGGGTACATTAAATTATTTGCTTGTCTTTTAAAACAATTATCAAAATTCTGAGAGAATTACTTCTCTCTCTGGCTAAAAATACTTTGATTTATTTGCCATGTGCTAATGATCATTCCCTTCGTGATTTCTAACTGTTGCTGAGACAGTCCCACTAGTAATTTGGGTTCTTAAAACTTCACACTACAAATTTAATAGTTGAATTCATATGCAAAATGTTTTTGCTACTCCAGTGAAGTAGAGTTATTTAAATCCTTCTGAAAGTGGCTTGTACAAGAAGATTTATCAGAAAGAATTGTGGTTTGGTTAGAATATTTTGCTTGGTTAAACATTAAGCACAGCCCATAGTTCTGCTTTTGAAATACATTTGATCGCCATTTGGAATTAAGTTCTATCAGCCATATCTGAGCAATTGCTTGAGGCTCTGACTCTAATTCTTATGACAGCTTTATTGTTTGGGAAGAAAATAGTTCAGTGCTGCTTTGGGGCTTGAAAGCATAATGCATTTAAATAATTGATGCATTGTGGCTGTATTACCCATCTTCAATGTCTGAATCGGGAGTTATTCTGGACAGCAGATACTTTGGAGGGAAGGAAGGAGGAAGGGATTGTCATGTCTTGGCAGACTTGTGCAAGTGGGAGATTCATTCATACTTCATCTGAGGTCTTACGTGCAGGATTTGTGCGGTTTTGAACTTTGCCTCATAAAAATGTATAGAACATGCATATTCCTTCCTCCTGGGGGTGGATAGATCCAGGGCGCTGAATCTGTGTTAAAAGGGACATCTGGGGATTATTTACTTTCAGTGCAAGTCCAGACAGAGGAGGTTTAATGGATTGGGCATAACATTTATTTCTGATAAACCAGCTCAATATACTTTGAGCAATTGTTACTCAAAAAAAAGTTATAACCAAATCATTTGGTTCTAATTGGTCTTGTAGTCATATAATCAACGTTAATTGAAACACTGCCAATTGAATCCAGGATTTTTCAAGATTCAGTTATGTCCTTTTCTGCACCATCTTTTAGCTGTCTTCTCTTTTTGTCACTCACTATCCTGCTGCTGAAACTAAATTTTTTCATACCTTTGTTTTGAGAGTTTTATAAAGATATTTAATGAGATTGTCTATTCTGTTAAGAAAATGTGCCACAAAATAGGGAAAATTACCTACTTGATGGAGTAAGTAGCAAGAACAGTAAAACAATGAGTGAAAGTAAAGGAGACATAAAAGGAGAAAAAAAGATGAAGTAGACAGATACAAAATACTGAAAGAGAAGGTTCTACACAAGAAGGGTGCACATAACATCTCCTTGTCGTTTCCCATTTTCTCAGATGAAGGGCTACCCACCTTACACTAGTTCTTTCACATCACTCTTCAGGAGCCAGTAGGAGATGTAGTTACACTTCATTTGGGCATACTCAAAGTAGCAAGGCCATGTGATGGCTCTGAAGGACATAGTTGTCTGAATCAAAGTTGATACAGTTTGGGGGAAATTATAGGAAAATTACACTATTTCTGTCTATACCATGGTGAATCTTAATAGGTAGTGCTCCAAACTTGTGTCTTTTTCACCTTCTTGGATAAAACGATCCTACTGAACCTAACAATGGAGAATTCTGGCATATACATTTTGTTGAATCTGTAATCCTGTGAATGTACTTGGAGGACAAGATGATATGAAGGGTCGAGTCAGTGTAAAAATCTGGGAATTTATTCCCGTATTCCTAGCACTGCAGATTATTTAAGTGAATATTTGAGAAAATCCAATATAATTTTCATTCTGAGCTTTAAGATTTTGACTTTTGCCTATACTTCACAGAGAAGAAAAAGATTTCTTTACATAGGAAATATATAGTAGAATAAATTGTGTGAATTTAAATCATTCTAGTTACACTCTTTTAGCATAATACTTATTCTGGAACATACATGAAATGTTCTGGATTCAAATGGGAGAGTGAAATGAGTGTAATAATGTGTCTTTAAATATTCCAGTATAACTAGAATTTTTTTCTGTATAGACAAACACGACATGAAATTATTCCTACCTTTCACTAATGATCACTTTCAGCTTCAAATTTAAGATGTTTAACTGTATGAACAGCAAATACTTGGAGAGGAGTATTAGTCTTTCTTTATGGTACACCTAGAAAAAACATAGACATTATTTCTAAGTGCCTTTTCATACGATTTTCTTCAGTGTGTTATGTATTTTTATTGGAAAAAAATTATACTCATTGATCCAGATAACTTGAAAATGTTGGCTTGCAAATTAAGCTAATAATTTCTTGAACAGATTTTAGCTTTTGTAGCGGATCAACAAAAGAATGGTGACTACTTCAGTAAAACAGAGTTCTGCTACTAAAAGTGTTCACTCTTCAAATGTTTTTTTAAGTTCCCTTAAGTGAATGGGAAGGGAGAGGGCGTAGTAAGGGAAAGTTCACAGGTAGGAAGCAGAGAAAAAGAAAGCAAGCAACAACAAAGGGGGAAAAAAGCAAAGAGAGTGAGCGGGTAACAGGTGGTTAAAAAAGGAAAAATGTAAATGCAAAAAATAGATCAAAAGAGGACAAAATGGCTAATAACTGGATTTTGCTACTACAGGTAGGAGCATGCTGTTTACAATAATTTCTAGGAAAATCACAGCAAATAATGTCAGCATTATTTTATAGCTTTTCATTAAAAAATTGAAGAGATTCATCCGCTCATAATTTGCTTTTGATATGGACAAGTTCAAGCAGGGTTACTCCCTGTCCAGATGAATCTCTTTTCACTTGTCAGTTCTTACATACCTGGTTGTGTTCTGAAGAAGTACAGACTTTATTCCTATGTACTACACAATCTGACATAACAGTTGAGGCTGGTTTTTTCTCTCTGTAAAAATGGTAATTCGGTTTGTTGCAAAGTCTGCCTCTCCTTCTTGGTGAAAATAGCAATTATAAAATAATTCCATTGAAAATACGACTCTGTTGAGATTTAATTTCAGGAGAAGTGGTTAATAAAACCCAGTTTAACAGTGACCTCTGAGTTGTGTCAGGGCAGAGAGGACATAACTTAACAAAAGTAAGTTGACAGTTCATTACTATCAATGCAATTTCATGATCCAGTGCTGAAACTGAATTAGCCAATAGATGTTTTTTCACTGAGACTTTGTTTCATACTGAATTGTTGTTTAAATTTGTAGGCTTCTGCTGCTCGGATGGACCACGAGACAGCCAGTGTTATGAGCTCTAGTAATAACTATTCTGTTCCTCGCAGACTGACAAGTCATCTGGGTACCAAGGTAACCGAAGATTACAAACCACAGGTCGCTAATGCTACATTTTTACTAATACAATAACCTCATTGTTTCTGCCAATAGTACTAATATTAGCTGAACGGTCTATCCATACATAGTAATTTTATGGAGTTAAAATTTTAGAATATTTTTTCAACTTTTAAATTATATGCACAGAAATCCTTTTTTTTACTTGTTGATGATCAGTTAAGAGTTGTTGCAATAAGGAAAAAATGATTGATAGAAATTTCTAGAATATCTAAAAAGCTTGTGATGTTGATTTGTAGTCCATGGTGAATTAAGAGCAGTTCTTTGAATACTTTTCCAGAGTCTAAATCCACAAAACAGATGCAATTGCTAAGAAATGAAATAGATGAATAAAAAAAAAAAAGAAAAAAATACGTAAGCCCTTCATGGTGATAAATGCCTGTTCACAGAAGACTGCGTTCAAAGTATATATGCAGCATGAAAAGAGAGGGGAAGAAAAGGGCAAATCTGTAACATAAAATTGAGTTAATGAACCACTGGAGTTTATACTGCCTCTGGAATAGGCAGCAGTATAGATACTATTGGTGTTGTCTTAAGCACAGACTACTGGGAAGCAGGGCCTATTAGCTTGACATACAATTATTTACTTTGGGCCTTAAACCAGCATTAAAATACTGTAATTTCAGCCCTGTGCTATGCATGTGCCAAATGGGGGTGACATCAGCTAGTCTGTCTGTCTGTCTGCGAGTTTTCATTGCAAATTGTAGAATTCCCAAAAGCTGCAGACAATAGGAGAGGCTTGAAGGCAGGGAAAGGGACTGAGTGTGGAAGGATACAGGCAGAGAAATAGGTTGAACTGAGTGTGCTGTGGGGAAGGGAAAGCTTAGCATTAATGCATGAGAAGGAAGGAAAGTGATAGAGATTCTAAACAGGGGAATGCATTTACAGATGCAGAAGATGTGTCTGTGGGCAGTGTTCTTAGTTTTTACTATGCTATATTTGCCACAACCTGGAGCCCAGATTTTGGTGGCTTCTGCAGCTTTATTCCCTGATAAAAACTTTACCTTCCAAATCTAAATAACACTGGATTAAAGCTGTCACTCAAAGTATCTGTCAAGTGGCATGCATAAAGCACATTAAATGCACTCTCCTTTAAGAATCCAAGTGGTTTGTTTTAATGCTGTATTTGATTTTTCCCAGACCAAGAAGATGGGATCTCCAAACCGGGATGCTAGGCTGTCATAAAATTGGCTCCAAGACTATTTCAGTGGATTTTGCATGTGATCATACAGCTTTACAGATTCTAAGCTTTCTATTGCTTCAGCAATCCTATAGTATTTAGAAAAGTACATCTTAACAGACGTGCTGCTGAGTCTACCCACTGATACCCAGTTTTTTTCTAACTTGGTATTTGTACTCATCTTCAGGCACATTAGGATGTCTCTGAAGAAACCAAATAAGGTCATTCATTGGTGTGGTAACCAGTGCAATTATCTAGTTATTGATAGAAAACTTTGTCTAACAATCCAAAGTCTCATTTCTTCCTTAATTGGTATATTCTAAAGGAACACAAGTGCTGCTACTTTGCAATTCCCTTTGATAGTTTCTTGATGTTGTGCTTTGATTTTGAATGTTCCTGTTTACCTTGGCTTTAGGAGTTTGGAATTTTTAGATGGTATCTAAAATCATCCTCTGCATCCTATTATTCTACTAAAAGTTCACTAGAAGAACCAAATGCATTTCTTGATCTAAAGCTATTATTGAAGAAAACAGAATGGGAACGACAAACCAAGTAGTGCGTTGGCCACTGTATTACACGACAGCTAAGGGAATCCCTCAAAAAAGGCTATCTTTTTTAATGAGAAATTTGGTTACTCCAAGTTACATGTGTAATGCTGAGTTGTCGTGGCTTGGTTTAATTTGACAAATGCTCAGTATTTTATATATGTTAAATGAGCATTTGTTTGCTTTACTGCGTTTATCCACGTAACCTTGAAAAAGTGTTAATTTAACTCTTCAATTTTGCATTTGCTGTAAATAATCTGGTCCATATGCAGGTCAGTCACCATAACAAAAAATGATTAGTTGATTTGAAATAGTTTTAAAGGAAAACGTTAAAATAGGTGTATGTAAGATTTTTTTTTTTAGGACAATGTAAATTAAAAATTCGTGTAATTGTTGTTTTCCTTTGTCTAGAATAATTGTATTTAATGCCACATAACAGTTTTTCACTGAAGAACATCTTTACATGAACGTGTGATTCATACAGAGCATATTTTATTGAGACAGAATTAATTTAAAATATATTGTAAATGTCTCAAACACTTTCATGAGTATGTTTATTTGATGTTTTTGTACAATGGAAATTTAGAAGTCTTTTCCATTGTTCTTGTGGATAAATAGTTGCATACAGCTACCACCTACTTCTACTAGCCATTTAACCACTAAGTGAAATTTATTAAGGTTATGAAGTAGTAGTAGTAGTACTCAACTGTTTCTAAATAGCACAGTTTTTTGCACCATTAAGCAAGGGTTTTTTGCTCGTGTGTACTGTTGAAATTTCATTCTAACTTAATGTGTGATTTTTAAATGTAACTGTATTTTTAAAATCATTTGACCTGCAGGTGGAAATGGTGTATTCATTATTATCAATGCTTGGTACTCATGATAAAGATGACATGTCAAGAACGTTGCTAGCAATGTCTAGCTCCCAAGACAGCTGCATAGCCATGCGTCAGTCTGGATGTCTTCCTCTCCTCATCCAGCTTTTACATGGCAACGATAAAGACTCTGTCTTGTTAGGAAACTCTCGTGGTAGTAAAGAGGCCCGTGCTAGAGCCAGCGCAGCGCTGCATAACATCATTCACTCCCAGCCTGATGATAAACGAGGCAGACGGGAAATCCGCGTGCTCCATCTCTTGGAGCAGATCCGTGCTTACTGTGAAACGTGTTGGGAATGGCAGGAAGCGCACGAGCAAGGCATGGACCAAGACAAAAACCCAAGTAGGTTCTGCAAGCTGTATAAAAATGTTTCAAGGATATACTGAAAACAGTGAATTTACTGAAAGTACAACTATAATGTGACTTCTTATTGTGAGTTTTCTTAAACGTTTGTGTGTATGTGTGTATATTTTTTTTTTTTAACTTGAGGTAATGTTAGGAAATAGTATCTATTACGGAAATGATACCCTATTTATAAGCTTGTTACTTAAATCATAAGCCTTGGGTTGCTTTCCAGATAAGAATGCTAGTGTTTTATATTTACAATCTGTAAATTAATATTGAATATGTACTCATTTTATTTTACGTTTTAATGGATAATTAAGCATATTTAAATAAATAATCACAAATTTCTTTTCATGCAGGTGTATTCAGGAGATAGCACATTTCTTTTAAGAGAGGGGCAGAGAGAACAAATTAAATAGTCTCAATATGTTCAGTATAATATGAACTGTTACTTATAATGTTGTAAGAAATACTTCAGTGTTAAAATACGAGAGAAGTGACAACGTAAGTGAATAGGAGTTTTCTTAAGGAACAGATAGGAAAAAAGATTTAACCTTCTGGATTGCCTAGCTGCTTTTCAGAATTGAGGGTATTTTGTAAATACAGGCTGGAAGTGTCTATGACAGATGCGCTGCTGAAACCACTGGCCTGCGTCACAGGTGTTAGGAGTTCACCACAAGAACCATTTATCGGGAGTGGGGCTCCAAACAAGATGTACCAATACCATTTGTGCGTTAGCCAGAACCTAGCTCACAAAATTAGGAACATAAAAACAATTTGGTTATGAAACAAAGGGTTTAATTAGCCATCTATAAGGACTTAACAACCAAAGAAACAGCTTCAGATTAGGTGGTGTATTATTTAATGGCACCAGAATATTTAACCTTATTGATTTGTTTGACCAAGATTATGAATTTTTAAAAGTAATAGGATAATTTTTTTTGTACTTCATACATACATTCAGGATTCTCTCTAATTTTGTTTTCAGCATCAAATATATTTCTAGTACACACATTTGTCAGTAACGTTCTTAACTAATTGTCTGTTCATGGATTACTGGGAAGATACAAACCCTGAACAAAAACTGCAATTGATCTTAAGACTAGATTCTCTTTGGAAAACTTATGATCTAGACAAAATCACCTAGGAAGTACTAATTGTTACCTATTTCTGGATCAGTGCCTGCTCCAGTGGATCATCAAATCTGTCCCGCAGTGTGTGTTCTGATGAAACTTTCATTTGATGAAGAACACAGGCATGCGATGAATGAGCTTGGTAAGACCAAATGTGTTTCTCTGACTTCCTTTGAGAAGCTTGCTGGAAATGCTGATGCTCCTTGTGTACCTCACTGAATATATGGCTTTTTGTTTACTATTAGTTTAAACAGACCATCAGTTCATTTGTGTCGGTTGTTGCCCTCTAAGTGATGAATGCAGTTTAAATTAATGAGACTGTTTCCCAGTGGGTAAATTATAATGTCAGTTGCTCTTTTTTCTGGCATGAATCGTGAATTTTGGAAGACTATTATTACTATGGAAATATTTGCAATTTTAGAAGTATTGGACTTATCATGGAGATTACTTTCCAGGGTGTGACGTATTTTGTTGGTTTGATTTGGGGGTTGGTTCAGTTTGGTTTGGGGGTTGGGTTTTTTTCTGTCATGAGTTGGTTCCTGTTTAACAGCCTGAATTTCTTGGTCCATGCTCAGTAAATACAGTGCATGCAATTTTCCTTAATTTGCCACTTTTCATTATCAACAAAAATATCCTATGTATTTTTCTCAGAAAATAACATTCAGTGATAATAATTACATCGGTCATTTTCAGATTTACCAAATAGCCTTTTATGTAACTGGTGCAAATTCATTGGTCAAACATGATTTTGGCTGGGTGGAATTAAAAGATGAGTGTGCTTCTTACTTCCTGATAATTCCTCTTGTTCTCATTTTCCCCTGAAATCTCCGTGTCATGCTATCGTACCTTTCAGCTGCTACTAAGCACGGGATTCAAGATCCAGAGTTGGTATTTAACGATTTATTTACCTTTCTGAGCCTTCTGTTTTTCAGATGATTGAGTTTTGTTCTGTACCTGTAAATGCAATTTGCTCCTTGGTATATGTGTACTGTACTCATGATATCAGAGTACAGATATTATTTATTTTCTTATTTGTTTTTAAAGGAGGTTTGCAGGCCATTGCTGAACTGTTGCAAGTGGATTGTGAAATGTATGGACTTACAAATGATCACTACAGTGTTACCTTAAGGAGGTATGCTGGAATGGCTCTGACAAACTTGACTTTTGGAGATGTGGCAAACAAGGTAAGAGTAGAGTTTTAAACATACAGTAATTTCAGTTCATAGTTGCATTTGAATTGTTCTCAAGGCAGGTGATGAAAATCGCCAGGATAGGATATTGAGTTTGAGCTCAAGCCAGAAGTTCAAAATGCCTTTGTCATTCCATCCTGTCCCTGACAGAGAGCACCACAAACTGAATGTTGTATCATGGAGAGTATAGTAGCTACTCTCATATTAAGTTAAATCACTTTTGTAAGGATTTTATCTACTGGCTTAATTCTTTTATGAGCATTAGATTAGTGTAACACACAATGATTATGCACCAGTGATTACTGTTAGTGACTGATTTTTCTGAGGATGTTGAATTAAAACAGCTAATTGAGTCAAATTTTGTGAAGTTGTCAGTTATTTAACAATACTATTACTGTCTGATATAATTTTGCAAACCTCTTCAGGCTGGAGTTTGCTTTTAAATATTTGAAGCATATCTGGCTCATAACGGGAGGAAATAAGGTTACCTAATTTCTGACACAGACCTTGCTTTCAAAAGATAAAAAGTTTCAATAATTTCTTGCCCCAGAGCTTGCCAAGCTATGGATCTTAAAGTAGCTTCATGCTGTGGAGACTTTTATCTTTCTACTCTAGAGGAAGACATACCAGGAGTGAATGGAAATAACAGGCTTCATGTAACTCACTTTTTGTTCCAAGTTTTAGACACGAGAAAAGCATAAATCCTTGCTGCAAATCAATTGCTTCACAAAATATTGGCTCTTTACATCGTCCAGTCAGTAACCGCTATAGGGCTGCAGTTACTTGGGTTTACAGCATAAACTAAATGACTCAGAGATGTAAATGTACGTGCTGTCCAGCTGATGAGTAGTACAGCTCTAACACATACTTCGCTTTTGAATAATTTTTAGTGGTGCTTTTTCAGAGAAAAATTTCCAGCATAAACCTTACAGTCTTTCAGTTGCTGTTGTATTCTTACAAAGTTGTTTTTCAAATGTCAGAAATGTTGTTACATTTGTGTCAGTTTTAAATATTCATATTATTTTTCCATATTATGTGTATTTGAAAGAAAAAAACTTGATTGTCAGACTCAGTAGACAGTAGATAACAACACATTACCAGCTCACAGGTGATTTTTATCGGGCGTGTAGTAAAGAAGGCTTCTAAGGTAGCAAAGTTTCAGATCAAGTCCTAGACCTGCTGTAGAGAATACAAAATTTAGCACAGCTTTACCACTCATGTATTGTCCAGAATAGACACTGATAGTGACACTTAACTTTTTGGAAGTTGTAAACCAAATACTTATTCTTGGCAAGGTATTTTACTAAGCTTTTATTGAACTTCAGATATGATTAGCTTAAAATATCAAAACATTGTGCAGAAGCAAGTCACCTAGCCTGTCATTTTCTTTTTTCTCCCAATTCCTAATAGGCTACATTATGTTCTATGAAGGGCTGCATGAGAGCTCTTGTAGCCCAACTGAAATCTGAAAGTGAAGACTTACAGCAGGTAATGCTCTTTTGAGATTAAATACTTCTTTAGCTTGGACGTTTCCATCACTTTGCATCCCATGAATTTCACTGCATTGTATTAAAATACTGTATTTCTGTTCTCCTTCCTTCTACTCTTTTGGCCTCGCCATCGGTTGATTTTATACTTGAATTTTATAGTCTTCATGAAGTTTCTAGTGTGCTGTCCATAGGCAGCCTTATCTTTTTTTTAAGTAGGCATTCTCTTTGATATGTGCTTCACTCATCCCAGCCTGATTTTTTTTTTTGGTGATTGTTGTTCTTATGTTGTCTTGCGTGCCTTAGCTTTGATGCAAAGTTTGTACTTGTACTCGTTCCACAAATTATGAAGTGCAACTTTCTTCTTGTAAAAATGCTTAACTGTGGGTCATATTCTGGTTTGGGTTTTTTTTGTTACCAAAGCACATATAACACATGGGCTACACTTTATGAGCCTGACGTGTTACTGGAACTGTTAGCCCTGTTAGTGGTCCCCCTTCCCCTGAGACCTTAGTTTGGGTTCCCAGCTGCCCTTGTGCCCCTGCTCTCCTCTGGGCGTGTTGGGATGGATCTGTGATGGGCTGGTGGCTCCTGCGGTGGGCCCGGGGGCAGCCGGGGCAGGGTACTGCTGGCTCTTCCATCTGCTGCTGCCTCCCTCTGCTCCCCTGGCGGTGCAAGCAGGGGGGCATTCATCACGTAACTTAACAAGCTCATGCACATGTGACAATGAGAACATCCATACAAATGTATTTCACAAGGGATATACATGCTTAATGCAGCCCATAAATGGATGGAGTTTAAAGTGTAATGCCTGTCCACTATAGTGATGGTCTGTCTCAGTCTAGCTGCTACCAAGGACAGGGGCATAGGCTACTCATCTTCTATGAATAACTATGCTGATTGTAAAAGACACAGTGTATTTTTAAAAGGCTTTAAGGAGCTTTATAAATGTTAATCATACTATCTGAGAGACAGGCGGGTGTTACTGTTCTCTTTTACAAGCAGAAAAGTGAGAAAAAGTTTATATAAATCCCTTCTGAGATTATGTATGTCTAGTGCAGGCATCAGAGTAGAGCACAAATCTGAATTTTTGGACCAGTTTTTCAACCAGCATGGAAAGCAGGGAACCTGATTTCAAAGCTTCGTTTTAGGTACCCACAAACAAAAGCCAATACCTTTGATCAAACTTCATAATGCAATGTTAGAACAGTCTAGCAGGCAACACAAAAAGCAGCTTTTAGCAAAGGGCTAGTTCAGTAGCTGAAGATGACCACTGTTAATTAGTCCATAGAATTCCAGAAATGCAGCAGGGAAGTCTGATAACCTGCTAAAGTAGTAGCTATATTGAGATACGTTCTTTTTCTTTCACATTTTGCAGGTCATTGCGAGTGTGTTGAGGAACTTGTCCTGGCGAGCAGATGTAAACAGTAAAAAGACTCTAAGAGAAGTTGGAAGTGTGAAAGCGTTGATGGAATGTGCTTTAGAAGTTAAGAAGGTATCCTGTATAAAAGATTGAGATAAATTTTGGAGAGATTGCATTTATTTTACACAAAACAAAAATATTGTCCTTTTTGATAAAAGCAGTTGGTTGAATATTTAGGGTGTTTTAGGTAACTTGCTTTGAAGAAGAGAATTGCTTTGAGTTAAGATGGCAGCAGACCACAATATAGCAATGACATCTCAAACGTACTAGTATTTCTGTAATTTTATTTTTGAGGGTTGACAGCTTTTGCTCTTCAGTTTCATGAGCTGTTGCAATAGCCTTTTTTATAATTCTGCAATTTATTAAAACCTCTTTCGAGTTAATGAATAGATAACTACCACTTCTGTAATTTTCTAGATATATTTTTGGTGTGCAGACAGGGATTATATTCCAAACCAGATTCCCCTGCCAGCTAGTCTACAAGCCATTTTTACCATTACAGCAGCTAACAAGTATTGTGGCACATATTTCTGAAAACTTTGGGGCAAGCAATACCAAATCCATAGCTGAAGGAAGGAGAGGAGCGAAGAAAAGGTTTTACGTGTGCACTGCTGCCTGCATGTAGCTTACCAGCCCAGAAAGCAGAAATTGGAACATCCGTAACTCCTTCAAGCTAATTTACTTGTTTCTGAGAGGTTGTGATCAATAGGTGAAAACTTCTAATTCTGTCATTTTGTTACTTTCCTAGGAATCCACCCTAAAAAGTGTTCTGAGTGCCTTATGGAATTTGTCAGCACACTGTACTGAGAACAAAGCTGATATATGTGCTGTTGATGGTGCTCTTGCATTTCTAGTCGGCACACTGACATACCGGAGCCAAACAAACACTTTAGCCATCATAGAAAGCGGAGGAGGAATATTAAGAAATGTTTCTAGCTTAATTGCTACTAATGAGGACCACAGGTGGGTATACTTTTTCTGAAAATATTTAGCAGTTCCATATGTATATTTAGTAGACAGTTTCTACTGCCTTAAGACAGTCTTAATATGAATGCATGTATTAAGTATAGTAATTAAGTACAGTTACTTTTTAACGCATTTGGTAAGGCAAGAATTTCACTTGTGTAACAGGACTATGTAAACAGATTAATACCTGCTGCTTGTTAATGATGAACCATACTGGAAGCTAACTGTTCGTATTTTTAATAGCACTTGATTAGTACTCAGATGAAAGCTAGAGGAAATATGAGATAAATTTGCACTGGAGAATTCATGATTATCCTTTCTAAGGGCAAAACTTGCCTTAGCATAATAGGTTTTTGTTTTGCTTTGTCTCTTATCCTTTTCAAATGCCACTTACTGATGTTTGTTTTCAATTACTCAACACCAGGCAAATCTTGCGAGAGAACAGCTGCTTACAAACCTTGTTACAACACTTGAAGTCACACAGTTTAACAATAGTCAGTAATGCATGCGGGACCCTGTGGAATCTTTCTGCACGAAATGCGAAGGATCAGGAGGCACTGTGGGACATGGGAGCCGTCAGCATGCTGAAAAATCTCATTCACTCAAAACACAAAATGATAGCCATGGGTAGTGCTGCAGCTCTAAGAAACCTCATGGCAAACAGGCCAGCAAAATACAAGGATGCCAACATTATGTCTCCAGGATCAAGCTTACCGTCTCTTCATGTCAGGAAACAAAAGGCACTGGAAGCAGAATTAGATGCTCAGCATTTATCAGAGACTTTTGACAACATTGATAATTTAAGTCCGAAAGCATCTCACCGTAATAAGCAGAGACATAAGCAAAATATATACAGTGAATATGTCTTGGACTCCAGTCGGCATGATGATGGTATGTGCAGATCAGAGAGTTTTAATGCTGGTAATGTGACTGTACTTTCACCATATTTAAATACTACAGTATTGCCTGGCTCCTCCTCTTCCAGTAGAGGAAACCTAGAAAGTACTCGATCTGAGAAAGACAGAAGTCTTGATAGGGATCGAGCAGTAGGCTTAAATACCTATCATCCAGCTGCAGAGAATACTGGGAACTCCTCTAAGAGAATAGGAATGCAGATTTCTACCGCTGCAGCTCAGATCGCCAAAGTTATGGAAGAAGTAACAAGCATGCATATTCCACAGGAAGACAGAAGTTCTGGTTCCACTTCAGAAATGCACTGTTTGACAGAAGACAGAAATGCCCCAAGGAGATCTGCCACTGCCCATACTCACTCAAATACATACTTTCCTAAATCTGAGAATTCAAACAGGACATGCCCTGTGCCTTACACAAAAATGGAATACAAGAGAGCTTCAAATGATAGTTTAAATAGTGTCAGCAGCAGCGATGGCTATGGTAAAAGAGGCCAGATGAAACCTTCCATTGAATCTTATTCTGAAGATGATGAAAGTAAATTTTGTAGCTATGGTCAATATCCAGCTGACTTGGCACATAAGATTCATAGTGCAAATCATATGGATGACAATGAGGGAGAGCTAGACACTCCTATTAATTATAGTCTTAAATACTCAGATGAACAGTTAAATTCTGGAAGGCAAAGTCCCTCTCAGAATGAAAGATGGGCAAGGCCTAAGCATATAATAGATGATGAAATGAAACAAAACGAACAAAGGCAGTCAAGGAGCCAAAATACAACCTACCCTGTCTACACTGAAAGTGGAGATGATAAACACATGAAATACCAGTCACCTTTTGGACAGCAAGAGTGCGTTCCTTCCTTTAGATCAAGGGGATCCAATGGTTCAGATCAGAACAGAGTAGGCTCAGCTCTTGGAATGAATCAGAAAGTAAACCAGTCCTTGTGCCAGGTTGATGATTATGATGATGATAAGCCAACCAATTACAGTGAACGTTACTCTGAGGAGGAACAACATGAAGAGGAAGACAGACCAACTAATTACAGCATAAAGTACAATGAAGAGGAACATCATGTTGATCAGCCTATCGATTATAGTTTAAAATACTCAACAGAAGTTCCTCCTTCTTCTCAGAAGCCATCTTTTACTTTTTCAAAGACTTCTTCAGTGCAGAGCACTAAAACTGACCATATTTCCTCAAGCAGTGGGAACACATCAGCCCCCTCAGCTGGTTCAAAGAGGCAGAATCAGCTTCACCCAAATTCTGCACAGAGCAGAGGCGGTCATACACAAAAGACTGCCTCCTGTAAAACTCCCTCTATTAATCAGGAAACTATACAAACTTACTGTGTGGAAGATACCCCAATATGTTTCTCAAGGTGTAGCTCTTTGTCATCTTTGTCATCAGCTGAAGATGAAATAGGACGTGATCAATCCACACGTGTGACGGATGCTAATAACACACTTCAGATAGCAGAATTAAAGGAAAACAGTGGGGCTCTATCTACAGAAGGTGCAGTAAGTGAAATCACATCAACATCACAACACATCAGAACAAAATCCAGCAGACTTCAGACTTCTAGTTTATCTCCTTCTGACTCCTCCAGACATAAAGCTGTTGAATTTTCTTCAGGTGCCAAATCTCCCTCAAAGAGTGGTGCACAGACTCCTAAAAGCCCACCAGAACATTATGTGCAGGAAACACCACTCATGTTCAGCAGATGTACTTCTGTAAGTTCCCTGGATAGTTTTGAAAGCCGTTCCATTGCTAGTTCAGTTCAAAGCGAGCCTTGCAGTGGAATGGTAAGTGGTATTATAAGTCCCAGTGACCTTCCAGACAGCCCAGGACAAACAATGCCTCCAAGCAGAAGTAAAACACCACCTCCTGCTCAAGGAGTTCAAGTAAAAAGGGATGCAGCTAAAGGTAAAGTAGCTAGTGCAGAAAAGAGAGAGCCTGGTCCTAGACAGGCAGCTGTAAATGCAGCTGTCCAAAGAGTTCAGGTACTGCCCGATGCTGATACGCTCTTACATTTTGCCACAGAAAGCACACCAGATGGGTTTTCTTGCTCTTCTAGCCTGAGCGCTCTGAGTCTTGATGAACCGTTTATACAGAAAGATGTAGAGTTAAGAATAATGCCTCCGGTTCATGAAAACGAACATGGAAACGAAGCGGAACCTGAACAGTCAGATGATACAAAGGATAACCAAGAGAAGAAAGTGGAGAAGCCTAACGAAACAGAAAAAGACATTCTGGACGATTCTGATGATGATGACGATATTGAAATATTGGAAGCATGTATTATTTCTGCAATGCCAACAAAGTCGTCACGTAAAACCAAAAAGCCTTCTCAAGCATCTGCTCCAAAAATACCTCCTCCTGTGGCCAGAAAGCCCAGCCAATTGCCAGTTTACAAACTTTTGCCTTCACAAAGCAGATTGCAATCCCAAAAGCATGTGAGTTTTACCCCAGGAGATGATATGCCAAGGGTATATTGTGTTGAGGGTACACCAATAAATTTTTCAACAGCTACATCTCTGAGTGATCTGACAATAGAATCACCCCCAAGTGAGTTGGCCAATGTAGACAGTGTGGGTGCAGGAGCCGAGTCAGGGGAATTTGAAAAGCGAGACACCATTCCTACCGAAGGCAGAAGTACCGATGACTCTCAGAGAGCAAAAAGCTCAACTGTGACTCCCCCAGGCCTGGATGATGACAGAACAGAAGAGGGTGATATTCTAGCTGAGTGCATTAACTCAGCTATGCCAAAAGGAAAAAGTCATAAGCCTTTCAGAGTGAAGAAGATAATGGATCAAATTCAACAAGCATCTTCATCTCTAAGTAATAAAAACCAACCAGAAGGTGAGAAAAAGAAGCCAACATCACCAGTGAAGCCTGTTCCCCAAAATAATGACTACAGAGCACGTATAAGAAAAACCACAGAGCCTAAAAGCAATATTAATAATGAAAGAAGCTATCCAGAGACCAGAGATGCAAAGAAACAGAATCTTAAAAATCATTCAAGAGATTTTAGTGACAAATTGCCAAATAATGAGGAGCGTGTAAGAGGAAGCTTTGCATTTGATTCCCCTCATCATTACACACCTATTGAGGGAACTCCTTATTGTTTTTCACGGAATGATTCCCTAAGTTCTTTAGATTTTGACGATGATGATGTTGACCTTTCAAGGGAGAAGGCAGAATTAAGAAAAGGAAAAGAAGCAAAGGAAACAGAAACTAAAGACTGCACAAATCCAGAACAGTCTTCAAATCAGCAGCCGAGTAACAGGACACAAGTTTGTCAAAAACACCCAACAGGCAGAAGCCAGACTAAAACTTTCTCTCAGTCAACTAAAGATATTCCAGACAGAGGAGCAGCTACAGATGAGAAAATGCAGAATTTTGCTATCGAAAACACACCTGTTTGTTTTTCTCGCAATTCATCTCTTAGTTCCCTCAGTGATATCGATCAAGAAAACAACAACAACAAAGAAGGGGAACCTGCTAAACGTACTGAGGCTCCTGATTCACAGATGGATTCAAACAGGCCACAGACTTCTGGTTACGCACCTAAATCATTTCATGTCGAAGATACTCCAGTATGTTTCTCTAGAAACAGCTCTCTGAGTTCCCTTAGTATTGACTCAGAAGATGATCTTCTGCAGGAGTGCATTAGTTCTGCTATGCCTAAAAAGAAAAAACCCTCAAGAATAAAGAGTGAAAGTGAAAAAAATAATTCCAGAAATACAGGTGGTATATTGGCAGAAGATTTAACACTGGATTTGAGAGAGATACAGAGGCCAGATTCAGAACATGGTTTCTCACCTGATTCAGAGAACTTTGATTGGAAAGCTATACAAGAAGGTGCAAATTCTATAGTTAGTAGCTTGCATCAAGCTGCGGCTGCTGCATCGCTGTCTAGACAAGCTTCATCAGACTCTGATTCTATCCTTTCTTTAAAGTCTGGTATTTCTCTAGGGTCACCATTTCATCTTACCCCAGACCAAGAAGAAAAGCCTTTCACTAGTAATAAAGGCCCAAGAATTCTTAAGCCAGGAGAGAAGAGTACACTGGAGTCTAAAAAAATAGAATCTGAAAGTAGGGGAATCAAAGGAGGGAAGAAAGTTTATAAAAGTATAATTACAGGAAAAGCTCGCTCCAATTCAGAAGTTTCAAGCCAGTTGAAGCAACCACAACAGACAAATGTGCCTTCGATTTCACGTGGTAGGACAATGATCCATATTCCAGGAGTCCGAAATAGTTCTTCAAGTACTAGTCCTGTTTCCAAAAAAGGCCCCCCACTCAAAAACACAAACTCCAAGAGTCCCAGTGAAGGCCAAAGTTTGACTAGTTCTCCAAGAGGAGTCAAGTCATCAGTGAAACCTGAGCCAGCTCCTGTAACCAGGCAACCATCAGGCTTGAACCAGAGTGGATCAAGTAAAGGACCTTCTAGATCAGGATCTAGAGACTCCACTCCTTCTAGACCTCAACAGCAGCCATTAAGTAGGCCTCTGCAGTCTCCTGGCCGAAACTCAATTTCGCCAGGAAGAAATGGTATAAGTCCTCCCAACAAACTGTCTCAGTTGCCAAGGACATCATCTCCTAGCACAGCTTCAACTAAATCTTCAAGTTCAGGTAGAATGTCATATACATCACCAGGCAGACAGATAAGCCAGCAAAACCTTACAAAGCAAACTGCCTTGCCTAAGAGTACCAGTAGCATTCCACGAAGTGAGTCTGCTTCAAAAGGGTTAAACCAAGCTCTCAGCACTGGTGGATCAAACAAAAAGACTGAACTGTCCAGAATGTCATCCACAAAATCTAGCGGAAGTGAATCTGACAGATCCGAGAGACCTGTTCTCGTTCGTCAGTCAACTTTTATTAAAGAAGCTCCGAGCCCAACTCTAAGACGGAAATTAGAAGAGTCGGCTTCATTTGAATCTCTCTCTCCTTCCAGGCTGGATTCTCCTACAAGATCCCAACTACAGACCCCAGTTTTAAGTCCATCTCTTCCTGATATGTCTTTATCCACTCATTCAACTGCCCAGTCTAGTGGTTGGCGAAAATTACCTCCTAATCTGAGCCCTTCTGTAGAATATGACGGGAGACCAGCAAAACGTCATGATATAGCTCGTTCTCATTCTGAGAGTCCATCTAGATTGCCAATCAATAGATCAGGAACATGGAAGCGTGAGCATAGTAAGCATTCCTCATCACTTCCTCGTGTAAGCACTTGGCGAAGAACTGGAAGTTCCTCCTCAATTCTGTCAGCTTCTTCGGAATCCAGTGAAAAGGCAAAAAGTGAAGATGAAAAGCAACATGGAAGTTCTCTTTCTGGACACAAGCAAAGTAAAGAAAGCCAAGCACCAGCAAAAGGTACTTGGAGAAAAATAAAAGAAAATGAGATTCCTCAGATAATGAATGATCCTCAGCATTCTTCCTCGGGTGCCACAAATGGCTCGGATTCCAAAACTCTCATCTACCAGATGGCACCGGCTGTCTCTAAGACAGAGGATGTGTGGGTGAGGATAGAGGACTGCCCAATTAACAATCCTCGATCTGGAAGGTCCCCAACTGGAAATACTCCCCCTGTTATTGACAGTGTTTCAGAAAAAGGGGGTGTGAATGGTAAAGATGCTAAAGAGATTCAAGAAAAACAAATCCCGGGGAATGGAGGTGTTCCTGTTCGTACCGTTGGTTTAGAAAACCGTCTGAACTCTTTCTTTCAGATAGACAGTCCAGACAAGAAAGGCACTGAAACAAAACCCCTGCAGATTAATCCTGCTCCTGCACCAGAAAATAATGAAAGTACTGTAAGTGAGCGTACGCCATTCAGTTCCAGTAGCTCAAGCAAACATAGCTCCCCCATTGGTGCTGTTGCAGCAAGAGTGACTCCTTTCAACTACAACCCAAGCCGCAGGAAGAGTAGCGTGGACAATAGTTCTGCTCGGCCATCACAAATACCAACACCAGTCAATAACAGCACGAAGAAACGTGACTCCAAGTCTGAAAATCCAGACTCCAGTGGAACTCAGAGTCCTAAACGTCACTCTGGCTCTTACCTGGTAACTTCTGTTTAAGTGCAACAAAAAAGAAATAAAACTGATGTATTATATACAGCAGCTATTTAGACATTTTGTTTCGAATGAAACTAAAAAATTGGGGATCGACTTTTTTGTTGTTTTTATTTGTTGTAAATAGGTCTGATTCTTGTTAGAGGGTCCTTGTTCTGGAAGCCATATTTGATAGTATACTTTGTCTTCACTGGTAATATTTTGGAGGAATACCCGATTGACAGTTTGGAATAAAATTGCTAACACAAGTATATTTGTACAGTATGTTTAACATGTATTTAATTAGCATCCCATCCCGTAATCCTTTAAATATTGCTTGTTGTTGAAATCATGCAATACTGCAGATAAAGATGATACAGTCATATTGCTTTATCAATAATTTCTAGATTACAGACTGACTAAACTACATCAGGGAAGAATTGGTATTATTTATGCAAAAAAGTATACTCAGTTTTAGTATTCATGAGTCCATCTAACCCAATAATTAATCATGTGGCTGTGAAATTCACAGTAATATGGTTTCTGCTGAACAAGCTTTCCCAGCCTGCTTTTCTGCATGAATGGAACTGATGGTTCATTTTCTGAAGTAATGATTAACATTTCTGTGGTCACATAATGTGCATAGATAGTTATGGTGTAACAATTTACACTTTCTTTGTGCTCTGGAGAAAAAAAAAAAACCCAAACAAAAAAAACTAAATGAAAACTGTGTAACTGTAAAACCTTGAACAAAAATATTTTACCTGAATTAGATTTTATCTCAAAGTAGGTAGAATTTTTTTGCTATGCTGTAACTTGTTGTATATTCTGGTATTTGAGGTGAGATGGCTGCTCTTTTATTAATGAGACATGGGTGATGTCTCAACAGAGACTAAAATGAACATTTCAGAATAAATTATTACTATATGTAAGTTGTGTGTGTTACTTCTGCATTACATGAAAGTACAGTATTTTATTTTGAGATGTCACCATATAATGTGTTGTATAATGCACTTACACTTAAGGCCCGATCCAGCAGAATCTTGCACCTCCAGTATTCGTTCTTCCGTATCACTGACAACGGCTGTCGTAGGATGCTTAAACAGTTGCAGGATCAGGCCCTAGGGTCTTCTGTAATATATTAGTAATTGAGGCAGTTTCACACATCTCAGGTGCATAACAAGGCTAAAGGCAGGGTATTCCCAGTAGCCAAGCAGTTTAATTGTTTCTGTGACTGCAAGCCTGAAACAATATTGTATGTATAAAAATAGTATTTGTAAAACAAAGTTGTTTTTTAATTGGGGGAAAAAAAATGTAGAATGTGAAATAGTGACTGTAAGATGAAATTTTAATTCTATTTGAAATCTTCATGCATTTTTTAAAATTTATTTTTTAAAAATTAGGAAGGGGAAAATACCGCAAGAATCCCATGGCAGCAAGCAAGAAATTTGTTATCATGGAAAAACAGTTTTATACAGAAACCAGGACATTTGCTGCCTCAAGCCTTTTTGATGCAAATATGGTTTGTGCTAGAACAATGCCTAAAACACAGATATTTGCTTTAAAAATATAAATGCAGTCTCAATTGAGATGAGAATTGGTTTAAAGTAGAAACAGGAGAGAACAGAACATGAACCATTCTGTGCATGATTGAAAACGGCACGCCAGTTTTGTTGTATCTCAACAGGACTGTTCTAAAGTTAGCATTCTAAATAATTGATATTCAGGATTCAAAATGCCCTGATTCCAGGAAGCCCTGAAATAGAGCAATTTACCTTTATGGTAGCTTTAACACAGTTACAGAGCGTATCTCATCTGTGGCTTTTGTACTTCATCTGTTACTGAAACAAATCTACTTTTATCTTGAATTCATGGTAAGACATGCACTGTTTATGAAGAGAATTGAGATACTACCAGCAGACAGAAGTCAATTTAGATAAAGTTTAAAGCCAATACCAAAAATACCTGTTTGGCAGAAGCAGTATCTTGTTTGCTCTTTTGTTCTTCGCTTCCTGTCAGACTTGCTTAGAGATAAGCCATGTTTCTGTATCATCTGGTGAGTCTGTTAACAAGCAGCGCTCCTTGTGTTAGCATTTGAAATATTTTGCATATAGCATCTTCACAAACTCCTACTATGAATATTAGTGCCCTTTTAAAGATGAAATAGAGCTTATATGACGTGTTCAAAGTCAGGACTTCCTATCGGAGTAGAAAACAGGACTCTGTCCTTGAGTTTAAAGTGCAAGACCACTTTTCTTACAAACAATGCGATGCTTCTTTCATGCTGGGCTTTTAACTACTCACATGAAGATACGCCACGTAATCCAGGATAGTTGTTTAACACTGGCTTTACATCTATGTCCTGTTGATTGAAGAATTTAAAGGTAAAGCCAATCTCAGTACAGAAATTCTGATTCCAGTTTTGTAGCTGAGGGAATCGGAAGAAGATGAGGTGAAACAATAAATAACTGTACGCGTATCAAACACCAGAATGTCTTCAAAAATTGTAGTGGCTTCTCTAGATAGTCTTGGAGGTACTTCATGATCGTTATAATTGGGAAATTTCTCTTAATATCCTCATAACTAACCTATATTTGTAGCAAAGACAGATGAGAGAAACTTTCCAACTATAAGGGTAGTGATACACTAAAATATGCTCCCCATGGGAGTTGTTAAATTTCCATTATAGAAGTTTTAAGAAGAGGTTTATGAAACATCTCATAGGGATGGACTATAGCGTATTTCATGTTGCCTGTGTGCAGAGATGGGCTTAGGCCATCTTTTGAAATCCCTTCCAGATCTACATTTCTCCAATTCTTCAAAATAACTTAGTAATTCACTAAGAGCCCTTTAGAATATTTAGGACATCCATGATGTTGGATTTATGTTAGTGATGAGGATACAAAGTTATATTCTAAGCTTAGCTAAAAACAGATCCCAGAAATACAAAATAGCATCCCCCCCCCCCAAAAAAAAGGCTGTAATAAGTATATTTAGCCTTGGATTTTTTTAACAATTTCTAGATTCATGATAGTCAGATTGGATTTATGCTGCTAAAGATTTACTCCTGTTCCTTGCTTTTATTTTTATGAAGTTGCCGCAGCAGGTAAGACGACATTTCTTTTATGTCAAGGCAAAACAAAGAAAAGCAAGGAGCTAAGGAAGCCAAGACTCATCTTACTGTTCTTCTGGGATGCACTGCCTTTCTGCAGATTTTAGTAGAACTTGTGTGATTTGTGCTCAGAGCTTTAGTTGTCCTTGGGTTGACTTACTATATCTAGAACATATCAAACTTGTACTTAAAAATCAGCTTATACTGAAAATACACTCATAAAGCTCATTTCAGAGTGACTTACAGCGTTGTCCCCTTGATGTGAAATGCAGAAACGTGGCATCCCCACAAATCCTAATTAGCTCACTTTTTAAAGCGTACATTCGTTTTAGCTTCCTGCAGTGTGCCACAATTAAGGTTATTGCTCAATTTCTGTGAAAGCTCTTCTGACTAAATACTGCCATCTTTAAAGGGAAACTAATCTATTTCTGTTTTTCATGGGCAGTTCTCTATCAGAGTATTTTCCCCTGAAAGCTTAAAGATAATTCTCAAAACTCTGTCAGAGATGACAGCTTAAAAATTGAAAGACTTGCCAGGACTTCCTGATGAGACTGGGATATTGTTTCAAGCAGGATTTGGCTGCGGAATACAAGTGTAGTTCATGCTGTAAACGTCAGTAAGCAACAGTATTCTTCAGCAGAGACTTCTGCTATCTTTAGCTATCTTTTGATAGCTTTGGGAAGTTTATTGCTCTGTCTTGGGTAAAGAGGGAGGGAAGGAAAAGGGGCAATTTCAGGGACTCTCAGCCATATGGTCCCAGGGATGTACTTTTCCCCAGAAAATTGCGTAAGCTGCATGGGAGAGAATGTTCTGTTCACAAATTAATGGGGTTTTATTTTTAAAGTGTACCAGTAGATAGTGAAACTGCAAAATTTTTGTGTGATAGTCTGACAGCTGTATTCTTTGATGGTGGCTTTGGAGTACTTCTTGGCTCTCCATCCCCCCCACCCCTCTTAACAGAAATTGAGATTACCAAGAAGAGTATTAGCTGCTTCGTTCTTCTTGAGCATAAAGATCCACATTATTTCTAGAATCAACAGCATGCACTGTTGAAAGAAGTTTTCTTCTCCCGCCCATGCTCCTGGCTGTGAAACCTGGCACTCGTCTGACCCTTCCATGGACCATCCGGGTTCATGCTGCGCTTGGTGTTCTGAATTTGCTCAGCACGGAGTTGGATGGGTGCTGCCTGAGCCAGCAGAAAAGAAAACAAAACATCTAGGGCTGGCAGAAAGAGCTTGGGATTCCTTAGGATTCCTTCCTAGTTTCCTTTATGGGTGGGTCAGTCAGTTGGATCAAGCTGTTACAGGCAATTTTAAGCCAATATGCCAAGTTTCAGACCTGTTCTTCACCTTTTTTGAGACAGCAAAAGCAAAGTTGGGTGTGTTTGGGTTTTTTTACTCTTGACTATTGTTCACTCTGAACTTCGCCTAATGCCCCTAGCACTCTGCATTTAAACACATTATGTTCAACTAAGTCCTTTATCCTGGAAATTCTGATAACTAACTTCAGAGGTATTATGTCAGTTTACAGTCTGTGCTTGTGGAAAAATAATTCTTCATCAAAAATACCCAAACCCCAATTTTTTTTACCATATGTAAACTTCTAGGTGACAATTTTTAAATTTGCAATATTATATTCAATGCAGTAAGTCTTTCCAGTAAAAAAATTTATTGCAACTAGTTGTTTTCTGGAAGAGACTTGGAGAGAACATATCCCTTCCCTAACGAAGACAGTACTGCTTGTAGGGATGATCTGGAAAATGTTTAGGAGGACTCTTACAAGCTCTTCTATTCTCTTGATGCTAGATGCTTCCCAAACTGTCTTTTCTCATCTAGCTTTCACTAAGTAGTATGAACAGCCGTAAGAGTGCTGCTGACAATCATGCGTAGACTCCCACCCAAGCGTAACTTCATGTATCTACTGTAATGCCTTGCAAAGTCTCACCCACCTGCCTGACAGCTTTGTTCTTGATGTGATGTGTGATTCAGATGAAGCTGCAAATCTGAAGTGAAGTGTCAGTTAATATGAAGCATGACTTCCTCCACATGCTTAACACTTCAGGGACCTTCTTAATACCAAATTACCCAAATGTATTCACTCTCTGGTTCCACAGCCATCTCCTTTGCACTTTGACATATGACCAGAAGAGATGCCCATGTTTTTTTTTATTTTAATTTCAAATCACATATACCATTCCTCCTTCATAGTCGCCTATATGCAGAATAACAGATTGTATTTATAAATGTGTTTATTGAGAATGTTAATGTAGTTAAGGTTGAGTTTTTAGTCAGAATGGTAAGTTAATTGGTTACGTGTTGTGTTTGGTTACATATTGGAAGTGCAAGGGGATCCAGTGTGGTGCTGAAGGGCTTAAGAGTTCACAACAGTAATTAATGCAGGTGTCAAATGAATCTGTGATGCCAAGATTAATATAAAGTATGTATTTAATGCATAGGGTTTCTGCTGTCAACTTTCAGTTTACCAGCTGTGCTGTTTCCTTACTGGGTAATGCCTCCCTAGCATAGTTTTGCAAATAACCTTGCTTAGGAAATTTCCACATAGTCACCAGCTTAGGTATTTGTACATTTCTGCCACTTCAAGATTACAGGAAATTATTCTAATTTTGCTGTCTGTGAAAGCATCCTTTTCTTGAGTGGCTGTGGAATTGCAAGTAGGATTATCGGTAAGATGTAGAGGGAGCTTGTTCACCTCTGTCCAGACCTCAAGCCATACATGCAAACGGTATCTCCGACACCCTACTTTCTGGTAGGATTTAACGTGCATAAAGCTTGTGCTGGTTCTCTGTGAGTAATTAAATTGTCATCCTCTGAGATCAGATGCATTTTCCCACCTGTAAATGTTGTTTCTCTTGAACAAACTCAGCCCACGATTATATTTTCCTTCAATTTTGTTGTTTGCTTCTGCCTGAGATGCATTACTGTTTATATCCTAACTCTGTAATTAATTCTTTCTTTAACTATTCTAATGTATTTTGTTTCACAGTATACTACTTCTGAATTTAGTCTTGCTATGCATAATTTATTTATTACTTGCAGTGTTACATAAAATTTCC